GCCCTGGAAGGGTACGAATACGTGTAAGAGCTACAGCTATGTGCAAGCATACTGTAGTTATATTTCATCCATATGATAATGACAAAGACAATAACACTACAACTTGTAAAATTGTGTGAAAACATCTTTAGAATTAACCAAATTACATTTGATAACCATTCTTGCGTCTTTTAATAGACTTAACTTCACAAATGAAGTTGGCTTTATAGCTGGCAAAACGGTTGGTGCTGGTCAAGAAAATATGTCGGTATATGTATATATGTACATATATGTATTAAACACATACATATGTACGTGTGTAAATATGCAAGTACTTAATAGGGTAGTACAATAATAAGGTTAATTCGAATAACACATCAATTGCGGAGCTAATCAGCTTTGGGCTACTCGAATTTCAAGAGCACACTTCGATTTCCCGTCGAATGACTTATCCTATTTATGCCATGAGCTTAAATACCATTTCCATTCGTTCCGAACCAAGCGCAAGTTTCCGTTCCTGTTTTCGCCGGCAATCGTGATCGGTGATCGCATTCTGAGTGATCTCATTGAGACCTATCGATGCTGCTGATCGAATCGCCTCTCCAATGGTCCCATGGTCGCAGCGGTTTCCCACACACCGAAAGAGATGGGATGTCGACGGAGCAACAATCTTTTGGGCAAAATATAAATACTCGTAGATAACAGCAACAGCAACAGCAACAGCAGCAGCAACAGCATCAGACACACTAACAAAAAAGCCTTCTATGGGCATTATGGAAATACCGTTAATCGTCGCCCGGCCAAGATCAGAAGACCTCCGAGCAGGTGACCGATAGTCGCTCTCAGATCGATGGATCGATCATTGTGGTTAATGTTGTTGCTGAGGCTGTTTCGCTTGTGCAGAAATCATTTGCAAGCGAATACACTGATCGATCTATCATTGCCAAAGCCAAATACGATTATGTACCTACATATGTATGTACATAGTATGTATTTAGGCATGTGTGATGTGGGTAGAGGAAGTCGTTGAGAACTGAGAACCTTGAACCCAGGAGAGACAACAGACACAAAACACAAAAGAAACGTTGGAAATATGATTTTGAATGGGATTTTTTGATTGAGCTCTGAGCGGAGTGGTACGGCAGACCCCGAGTGGAGCTGAACTCAGCTGAACCGAACCGAACTTAGATGAGAACGGAGCTGAGAGCCTCAAACAGTCGTGCTTAGAGGCCAAAGCGGAAACCAAAAAGCGGAGTTGCTTTGTGGGACTAATCGATGAAGGCAGTCATTGACAATGCAAAAACAGTTTGAAATCCGCTTACCAGAGCGCACAATTTCTGTGTGTTTGTGTAATTGCAGAAATCAACTTTTGTTCGTTATTTACTTATTTCAATTTGGCCTATTGTATACCCTCTTGCAGAGAGTATTATGATTTTTACAGCATGTGTGCAAAGCCCTCTTAGATCCCTCAAAGGGTGGGGGGGGCAGTATACATATGTACATACTCATGTACATATGTATGTATGTACATATGTATATGCAATCATATGACTTATACAATATATTCCTGCACTCCGTCTGTGCTCTTTCCAACTTTCCACATTACGTTGTTTCTCCGTTATATCTGTCTCTTCCCACCAACGAAGTACTATCCTACCATTATATCTCGCTCCCTCCGCCATGGGGTGCCACAGGACGATGAAGACTGCGAGAGGAAGGTACATATTTATGTAACTGACATACAGATCTGAGAGACCCAGAAGGATATCGAAAATTTCAGCACCTTCTTGACTTGAATTTGTTTGTGCATTTCATCTATTTTTGTTGTTGTGTTTTGTCGGCGCGCTTTTATTTTGTTTTTTGTTTTTTTTTTTAAGTTTATTTGGCTTTTTGCGTAACTAAAACAATTTCATTTGCACTGACAGCGTCGCTGTCGCTGCCTCTGTCGGCGCCTCTACAGCGCCCGCGCTTACGACTCAGCCGTTATGGTTATAATGCGACAGAGCTTTTTTGCAATTGCTTTTAGCAGTCATGTAATGTTATTAACGCCATATTGACACACATTTTGCAGCAGGGCAGGCATGTTGGTAGGCAGACCAAACTGCAAGAGGGGGCCTGAAATCTAAGCTAATTACGTGACGGCAAACGCAACGCAGCCAGAGAGCAGAGAGCCTGCACTTGCAAGCCTCTCCTCCCAAGCAGACGCCTATGCCCTCGCATAGACTTCTTCCTTGCGCGTTTTCTTCCTCTGCCATCTGCCCGTCTGCCCGTCTGCCCGTCTGCCCGTCTGCCCATCCATCATACATCGCATCAACGTCACGTACACGCGACGTGGGTGGCGTGGCCAGATTGAGTGGCGGTGGCCCACAGGGCGACCCACTTTCGTCGTCTCTCTGGCCCTTGCCCTCGCGCAACGCGAAAGAAGAAGGAATACTAATATGAGGAGGCGAGGTTCAAGGGGAGAAGCATGAGAAGCAGCCGAGAAAGAGCAAGAGCAAGAGCAAGAGCAAGAGCAGGAGCTAAAGAGCGAGGCTAAAGTCACGTTAATTGCTTCAACACTTGACTCTGAAGATGCGGATGCGGATCCGGATTCGAATGCGGATATGCACACGGCTTGCGGATTGGAAGATTTGGGCACTGGGACATGGACATGGACATGGAAAGCTTTAAGTTCTTTGGCATTTATTTGCTGGCGAAATATCGCTCCTCCATTGATCCATTACCATTGGCGTCGATAAAAAACCACTGGCACGTGCCACACTGTTGATGCAAGAAAGTTATGATGTCATAATACCCATTTGCACCCTCTCCTCCCCCAACCTGCACTCTCCATCCTCAAGCATCAGTCGAGTTTCGAAAGTGAAAAGGTGATGTTGCCACTGTGGGGGGATTATCAAATATGCATTTTCGTCCGTCCGTCTGTCTGTCTGTTTCGGTCATTCTGCCGCTGTCTATGCATTTTTCAGAAGAAGACACAACAAACATTTGATGGTGCTCCCCTCACACGAAGACACGACACAAGTGACACGAACACACACAGATACAGATACAGCTACAGATTCAGATAGAAATGCACATAGACCAAGCGGGGCTTCAGTTCTAAGCGAAGCTACGATGTGCTGCGCTGCGCTGCTGCTCAGCTGTGTTGCTGCCAGCGATCAAAGTGAAACGAAACCAAGGTTTAACAGAGAAGGATTACTAGCTTCGAGTGTCGAAGAATTTGATACCCTTGCATGTAAATCGGTTAGGCGTCTTCCTGTGTGTTGGCCACTTCTGTAAAAGCATCAGAAATAGTAAAAAGCTAGGAGGCAATCAAAAAACTGGGTCGAATATGCTTCTTTTTTGTGGCAAAGCATAATACCCATAATACCCTCTGTAAGGGTATGATAATGCTGTTCGTGGGCAGCGCAGCGCAGAAGCAGAAGATGATGATGATGGGGGGAGATGCATTTAACGCCTCTGGGTAGCCAAAATGTATCGTGGGCGTCGCCGTTGTCCCCGTTGCCGTTGTCGTTGCCGTTGCCGTTGCCGTTGCCGTTGCTGTTGCCGTCGTTGCTCACCTGGCATGATAAGAGCCCAAGATGATGGAGAGGGAGAAGAGGAATAAGAGGAAGAACCATCTAATGAAAAGATCGACGCAACGATACCCTAACCCTAACGTACATAGGTCCGCGAGAAATGGAAAACCGACTGAAGCATTTAGTTCCCTTTCTTTGTGGCTCGAACTGATATGCATATTTACAATTAGACTACCTCTGTCATACCCATGCACTCCTTAGTCATTTCGCAGCAACGGCAGAAACGTCGGCAGAAGAGCAGCGTCATGCACGCTGGCTGTGGATGTCGTGCCTTTTGCTGCTGCTGCTGCTGCTGCTGCTGCTGCTGCTGCTGATGTGGCTATTGCTGTTGCTATTGCTGGGAATGCCCTTGTTTGGGGCTAGGGTATTATGGAAAGGTGAAACAATAAACACCAAATAAAGCATTTGTCAGATATCCATAAAAGATGCAGCGGAGAGAAGGAGAGGCAGAAATAATAATATTGTTTAAATATTAAATTATTACAACAAAATGTGCATAAATGAATATGGAATGATGCAAATGGAAATGGAAATGGAAATGGAAATGGAAATGCATGACACGTCGAGACACGATTACTGCTTGCGCTAGCAGCAGCGCAGTGCAGCGCAGTGCAGCGCATCGTATCGTCTCGAATATGGGATTCGAGCTTGGGGGTTCTCCGATGGCGGATGATATTACCTCAGACGTCAAATGTGCCAATGGCAAATTGTTGTGGCAGTGTGGTACGAAGGGGTTAGAGACAGGCAGTACGAGACTAAGTGGGTGAAAACTTCTCAGAACTAAAGTAAGCTGTGAAGGGGCTAAGGGGCTAAGGAGCTAAGTGGTAGTCTCCAGATTCCTGAAAGGCGGTAAAGCGATAAAGGATGCGAGTTCAACAGAAAATATGTATGTACATATGTACATATGTACATATGTTATGAGTGATGAATTCTCTCCCATATCTAGAGTGCAATAGGTGAGGGTAGGCCTGACATATTTCCATACAGCAAATTCGTTTCTCAATTTATGAACATACAGAACATGGCCGCGTTAATACTAGAATACTAGGATGTGGATGTGCACCCTCTTGATGTGTACTGTACTATTGCACATATTTACATACATGTACATACATAAGTGAGCGGTGAAACGAAGAGAAAAAACACTCTCGCGCATCTTTAATCGCCCTTTGTCCTGAATTTACCGTTCGACAAAAACAGCACAAAACAAAAAACCTGTCGAAATATCGTCGCAATGCTGATCGTTCAACGACCGTTGGGGTCTGTGGATCGGGGCTGTGGGGGACACGGGCCTGGGGCAGCCTAAAAATGTCGTGCTAAATTCTTAGGAAGCTTAAAAATAACAATTTTCTAGTTTTGTATTTTTGTCTTGACTTTCAATCGTGCCGCTCGCTGAAATTTTTGTCTGTGCTCATTGGGTATTTCTGCTCCTCGTTGTTGCAGCACGCGAACTATGTGCGGCAGGCGGCCGAGGACTATTTGGCCCGGCGACAGGCGCGCAACAAATCGATGACACGCTCGATGACATCCGGCCTGGCCGGTCCGATCCTGGCCCTGGGCAACATCCACTACCTGCCGGCGGCCAAAAGCGGTACCTTCTTTGCTCGCGACAATGTTTCCAACTTCATAACTTGGTGCAGGTGAGTGGTTCATCCCCAGCGGCAATCGATTCCCCTATAACTCAATCGATAATTCCTGCAGAAAGAGCCTCAAGATAATCGAATGCCTGCTGTTTGAAACGGACGATCTGATCATGCGCAAGAATGAGAAGCACGTGATCCTCTGCCTCCTGGAGGTGGCGCGACGAGGTGCCAAGTTTGGTACGTCATCTAGGGATTCGATTCACATTATCCCCCATCTTAATCACATGGTCTCCTCTCTCTTCCAACAGGAATGCTGGCCCCCATGCTGGTGCAGATGGAGCGACAAATCGATCGGGAGATCGCCGCCGATATCAAGGCCAATGGCGCCAACTCCTCGGACAGCGGGACACAGACGGAGGCAATCGCCTCCAGCTCAACGATTAGCAACATGGCCACATCCACAACAATAACGACAACGACAGTGGGCTCGGAGACGGATCTATACGATGACAGCGATGACTCGGAGAATGAAGATGATGCCGATGAGAATCCAATGCTGATGTACGGTCCCCAGCCCCAGATAGTCACCAACGATCTGAAAAGCCTCGATGAGATGGTGAGTGAGACCGACTTAGGTAGTCGGTTACTCGTATCTGTACCTTCACCTTTTTTTGTCTTTCTTCAACATTTGTTTACAAGACTGTAAATATTGTATACGCTTAAACGGCATTCTTACAACACGATACACTGGAAAAAGTCTGGCCGTGTAACCAACTGAGTTTCTAAAAGCAAGAATCATTGTGTTTCTGTTTCCGGATTGCCAACAAGTGGTCTAATTCTTATATCGTAGTGATTTTCTCACTCAATCCTTTCTGTTTCGTTCTAAAGTTATTCTGTTCAATTTAATTAAATTCAATTCAAGATCTGAACCCTTCGCAGAAAGAGCGACATTTTGCTTGTATTCCTTTGTAGAGCTTATCAAGAGCTTTAATTGTAGCATGATTCAGTGAACAGAAGAAGTCTATACCGGAATCTCGCTTCGAGTATTAGCTATGTATATTAGTTTCCTGTTTGGTGCCTTTGGGATTTCTGTGGCAGGGCTGTGGCAGGGTGTGTGTCTATGTCCCAGTCCCAGTACCAGTGCCAGTGCCAGTGTCCACTTCTTTGGGGTTTCTCTTTTTGATTGTACATACATATGTACATTTCGTTCATGGCCCAACTCACGATTGTTTTGCCTTCGTAGTGACCGCTGTCGTTGTTGCCACTTTTCTTAAGACCATTTTTAGCCATGGCTGAGCTTCCATTTAGGAACTTGGCCCAAAAGCAGCTAAACCGAAACCAAAGTCAAATGCAACCCAAACGAAAACAAATCTAAGGCAGCCTGGAGTGGGATTTAGTTGGGTGTCTGTCGGACACATTGTAGGGGATAGGATGCCAATTTAGGGGGGAGCAAAGTATCTCCTATTTCCGCCAATCCGACAGTGCGGCATGGAGGCATTGCGGCAGTCCGTCTGCCATGTTGAGATGTCAAATTAATTTGACAAGATGTTCCCCAATGGCGTCGTCGCTGACGATGTGCCAACAACTATTACAGCAATTGAAATTGTCAATGTAATTGCAAGTGTGACGACAGCGCCAGCATCACCAACAGCAGGAGGATGGAGATAAATGCAGGGAGGGTGGATAGATGGTAGGGGATAGATGCAGGATAGACGCAATGGAAATCAGCGACGTCCAGACTAATGAAAGCCATTCAAACATTTCCTCACGCCGCCAGCAACAGCAGCAGCAACATCTAGCAACGATCGACAGCTGGGGGATGGATAGATGGTCTTGGCGTGGACATGGACATGAAGCAGCGCCACAAGCTGTCCGGACGATCCTCCATCCTCTCGACTCCATCATGGCAGAGTCAGCCAATATATTTGTGCAGCAGCCAGAGCCGCAATATCGGAGGTAGCCACAGCAGCCAAATCAGCAAATAGCCTCAACAACTTGTCGAAAATCAAATGATGTGCCACCAACAGCATCAGCAGCAGCATCAGCAGCAGCATCAGCAGCAGCAGCAGCAACCACCACCACCACCAACAGCAGCCACTACTGAGGAAAAGAAAAAGGGGGAGAAAAGGGAAGCAACCACGATCATTTGTCGACTCGAAGCTGGAGACTCAGACTGAGGCTTTGGCACGTCCGCATAGCTGTCTGTCCCTGGCCTGTTGTCTGCTGTCTGTAGCAGGCAGTTGCTGCCGTGGATGCTTGTGGCATGCGATTTATGGTTAGCCCAGGACCACATCGCCCCATCTCCATGGCCAGCTAATCTCGTATGCGTCAGAGTCACGCCGATCCTCGATCTCTGGCAGAGATGCGAGATTCCCTCCCGATCCCGGTCTCCCCCACGGCCGAAAGATTTATTGTCAGCAGCTCCACCTAAGCACGCATTCAAAGCTGCCGAAGGAGATGCAAAAGTTCAAAGGTGCAAATGCGTTGCCCTCCCTCTCTATCCCCTGTACTCTGTCCTCTAACCCGCCCATCCATCTGTTTGGTCTTGCAACAAACTACAGTAGCAATGTGCTCGAGGAAATAGTTGGAGCCAGGATCCAGACCTCAGAGTGCAGAGTCAGAGCCCAGAGTTGGAGTTTGAGTGGAAGTCGGTGTCGGGCCAAGTCGTCATTTGTTGTTTGTCCGCTGCCGCCAGTTGGGACGGACAGAGTCGTCAGTTCGGGCTGATGCTGATACTGATGCTGAAGCCCAGGCTGGGGCTGAAGCACAGTCTGGCTCCCATGGACTGCTTGGCTCTCCCTAGGGCTAGGGTAGCACCTCTGCTGCCTCTCCGCGGATCATTTGTTGGTTGGACAATGGCAGCGCGTGAATTTATGCAGTGGAAAACTATTTGGTGACCCCGATGCTCGTCGTCGCTCGTCGCTGGATCAGCGTCAGCTTCAGCCGCGCACACAGCATCAGTATCAGCATCAGCTCCAACTGCAGTAGTCGGTCGCCAGTCAGTCAGGGAGTCAGTCCGACTACTGGGGTCAGGCTTATGCAATGCCGGGTGTTAGCGTCGGCCCACGAAGGTTGCTGGGTGGCAGGCAGGATGGCAGGGCAGTCCAGAAAGACTCGATTTACGGTACAGTGCCACCCAGAACTTTACGGTTTACGGATATCGAATTGGCTCATCGTATTAGAGCTTATCTTTAGATCAAGGTATGGAAACGATGATAAGGATCAGTTATCACAGCCCAAGGTCATATCGACTGAGATACCCTATAGAGCAAGTAATGTTCTCCTTGCTAGACCAGTTTACTGATATGGATTATCATGGATCAGGCATGATATCGCTGCCATAAACATATGTATGTATGTATGTATGTATGAACATAATCATAAACATAAAACATAAAACATAAACACATAGACACATGCGCAGCGATAACTGATCATGGAACATCAAATTATCGAATATACCAAAGCAGACCTCGCACAGAACGGTTGACACTTTCGGGGTGTCCGAAAAAAACACTCACATTTACGGACACATGGAGAAAAGAAAAGAGACAGAGAAGACCCGACCAAATCTGTTTTTGCCTAACTCGCTCTTCGCTCAAGCAAAGCCTGATTTTACATGTTTCTTTTGTTACTGTTGTTCATTGACCATTTTGTCGCGAGCGAAAGGAAAAGGTGTCTTTTGCGTCTGGCAACGATTACTTGCCTATGCATGTATGTACATATGTGCATATGTACATATGTAAATGAAAATCACATAACCAACTAATAACCAAAAATATGCAGAAAATTAAACACACAACGCAGGAACTTTTTCTGTGAGCGCTTGATCGAAAGTGTCTCTTTAAGTTGTTGTGAGACACGACCGCGTGTTGGCTCCACCGAAAACACGAAACAGATAACACAAGCGAAGCAAAATGTTCTGCAGAGTGAGGTAGGTACATACATACATACATGTATGTATGTATGTATATATTGCGCGTGCCCGTTTCCTGTTTTGTCAGTGAACAGACAGCAAAGGATCCCTATCCCTATCCCTATCCCTATCCCTATCCGTACCCCTATCGCATACATGTAAATACATATGTACATGTACATATGTATGTACATATGTATATCTTTAATTTTATTTTTATTTATTGTTATCTGGCTTTCCTAGTGCTACAAGCTAATTAGAGCACTAGTCACTAGATGCCACATTGGTTTTGTTTGGGTCAAACTAATCTTATATGATTATATAATCTTTTCTAATTTAGGATTACATATGTACATACATACATATGAACATATGTATATAACATTCTTTATTATTAATTATAGGTAATTTTTACTATTATTTTATTTGATCTCAATTAGGTTTTGAGATGTACAGTTTCTTAATCTACTATAATATGGGCTCTTAACTGTATGTATGTACATATTTGATTCCTTTGCAGGTTAGAGATCTGGTAGAGAAGTGCACATGCCCCTCGCAGTTTCCCATGGTCCGTGTGTCCGAGGGCAAGTATCGCATCGGCGACACCAAAGTACTCATCTTTGTGCGGGTGAGTATTCGTTGGCGGCTGGAATGCGAGGAATACAGAGGGAGAGTCGCTTATATTCGCGTGCCACTTTCAGATACTGCGCTCCCATGTGATGGTGCGCGTGGGAGGCGGATGGGATACCCTGGCCCACTACCTGGATAAGCACGACCCCTGCCGCTGCCGGGCCCAGCACCGCAGCTCGGTGGCCGCCCGCCTCATCCCCCGACAGTCTCCCAACCACAATCCGAGTAACGGCATCGAGCTGCACAAGGCTCAGGTGATATTCGAGCGGTAAGGGATTCGGATTTTGTAGTCCCTTCTCTCCTCTAGATCCAATGATATTTACTCCCTTTCACTCCACTCCCTTTCTCAGGTCACCGACCGCTGCGCGACGCGTCTTCAACAGTCCAAACTGCAACGGAGTAGGAGCTGGAGGAGCAACAGCAGCCACAGCGGCAACAGCAGTGGGAATGGGAATTGGACTGGGAGCTGCACAAGGCCAGGCCCAACAGAATGGCAACAGTCTCTCCCCAAATTCAGGAAAGTACCGGAGTCGAAGTCCGACACCGCAGCGTAAATTCATCAACGGTATCCAAAGCAACGGAATCGTGGCAGTCAGTGGCTCCTTCACCACGGCCGTCGTTCCAGAGCAACAGCTGCTGGGCTCCCCTGGCCTGGCCAGGCGCTCCATGTCACCAAGTCCCCGGCGGCTGATCGACATGCGGAAGAAGCAGAGCTCCCTGGACTCATACAGCAGTGGACCTAAGTCGCTGCCAGGCGGCTGCAGCTGCTCCCTGGAGGATTCCGGATTGGGAGGGGGGGCGGTGACTGCCCCTTCATCTGGAGGAGTGCTTGGCGGGGGACAGTCCGTCCCGGAGCAGGGCAACTCAAGCAAGTTTGAGAATATCAGCGACAACGGTAGCGAGATCAGCGACGAAGGCTACCGAAGCCTGGGGGTAAACCAGTCGAGTGCCCAGAAGCGCGAGTCCCTGCACAGTCAGGCCTCGATGGAAGACGCTGAAACCAATGGTGAGTCCACAACCGCTCCTTCCTTGATTCCCCTCTAAGCTACGAATTCCCTTCCGCAGCGCGTCTCGATCAGACGTCCAGCGACTCACAGATCTCGCCTACGGAAGAGCCCCCGGAGAAGGCGGCTACGGATATACTAGAGGAAGAGGACCTCAATGGGCAGGAGCTTGACGCGGATGCGGACGTGGACGTGGAGCAAGACTACTCTGTGTGCGATGGCCCCCAGTCGCTGCCGGCCATCCTCCGTCTGCCGAAGATGGCGGACAAGTTCGAGCAGTCGGGTGTATTCATCACCGACGATGAGATTACCGTGGACATGGCCAAGAGCCCGCACTCCCCCAAGCTAGAGATGCAGCAGTCCCCGGCGCTGCTCAGTAAAATTCCCCGCTCACCTTTGGCTCAGCGCCGGCGCAGCATCGACAACAGCACCTGCGGCGGCGCCGGCGGCAGCCTCCAGGATCTGAGCTTCCGCTCCTCCGCCACACCACCCGTCGGCTTCAGTCGCAAGCAGCCCGTGTACCGCTCCATGCGAAGCCGCACCACGGTGGCGTCCACGCCCACGCCCGTGCCTTCGCCACGCGCCGCTCGGCAGGCCTCGAATCTACCAACGGTACGGGATGTGACCAACACATGGAGCGGACGCACTACAGCTGCCCCCAACAGCTGCAAGAGACGGCCACAGTGCACTCCAGAAAGCTTTGTGGCCCCAGCTCCGTTTGAGCGGAGCGGTAAGGGGCGATCGTCCCAGATCCTCTACGACAGCAATGGGAGGAGGGTGCGCGGCGGATGCACTAGCTCCCTGACCACGTCGCCAGTAAAGAACCATGCCTCGTCCCCGCTGGCGCAGCAGCTGCTCGAGGCGGCCAGCAGTGCCAAGAACGATGCCCAGATCCTCGAGAAGATGAAGACTCTCCTCTCCCGATACGCGGCCAGCAATCAAACCAGTTCTGGAACAGTAGTAGTAGCCGGAGCCGGAGCCGGAGCCGGAGCCGTAGCCGGAGTGGGAGCTGTGAAAACCAGTTCCAATGGCAAGAAGACGCCCGTGTACGAGGACTTTACCACAGCGTGGGTTCACAGCAACGGCAACCTGGAGCGCTCCGAGAGCTGCTCGCCCCCGGCTAAGGCTCGTTCCAAGCGCAGCTCCGCCGCCAGCTCGTGCGAGAGCAATCACTCCACCACTGTGGCGGGAGTGGGATCGGGAGCGGGAGCGGGAGCTGTAGCAGCCAGCGTGGTCTCGCCCAGACGGGAGCGCGGCATGTCCAAAATCCCGGCTCCGGTGCGCCATCATACAGAGCTTTACTAGCGCCCGACGACGCAAAGCGTCCGCGCCCGTTCAATCGCCTCCAGCGCCAGCGCCAAGGTCCGACTGCTTCCGAGCGTTTTCTAAAAACCTCCCAAACAATAACCAGGCGATGGGATGCGGAGCAGTATAGTGGAGTGGGATGGGAAAGAAAATGAAATGAAAGAAAGGATTGGGTTGGGTTTGGAGTTAGTAGATAAGTTAGGTTATAGCCAAGCTGGAATTGTCGCTGCTGCTGTGCGTGTGTGTGTTTTTGTGGGTGCAGAGCAGAGTAGAGGATGGGAGTGAAACGGAAATCAGAACAGGAACCTAATCTGCGGGCTCCATGTTCCGCTCGGGAATACTAACCCAAAGTGAAAACGATTTGCAGGCCATAGAATACATAGAGTTTCCAAGATACGATCAGGATAAGAATCAGAAAAAATCAATTATAGGGCAAAACTTACTGCATCATTTACAGGCTGGGCACAATGTTTACACCCGGCCCATTTTCAAATCGAGCCACAGAGCCCCAAATCAGCAAAGCTATCCCCATATTCCTTATAATACACACTCTCTTCTACGTATATATACATACATATATAGTATGTACATATACTCGTACGCTACATACTCGTATGTAGCATTCTAAAGCCCTATAATCCTTGAACTCTAATCAAACACCTATAAACACTCTCTCTCTCTCTCTATCTCTCTTTATATCTTTATCTTTCTGTATGAATCGGATTCGATCTGTGCTGAAATGGGATCTAAAATATATGCGTACAACAATTAATACAAAGAAAATACAAGACTCGAATAAAGTTTTAAAAAAAATGTTGGTCTAGAAATAGCAGGAACTTTTAAAAATATCCTAAAACGAACATCAAAGCAGCAAATTGTATCGAATATACATATGTATCTACACAGCAAATGCAAATGCCATATAGAGGACGCATACATAGTTTTCTAGAAATTTTTAAAGGAGGTATCGATCCAAAAAGGAGCAGGCAATTCAATCTTCTAACTCGTAGATTCGTAGGGACACAAAAAGCAACATCTATTTTATAGATCATTGTGTGAGTGTTGTGGCAAGCCGAAAGTTTTTGGAAAACTCAACTTTTACAGAATAGATTTACATAATTACATATAGACACAAATTCACATGCGGATGCAGGTCCGACAAAAAACCGTGTATCTTTGGCCTGTCGAACACACAGAAAACTCTTCCACACCACACCACAAACACGCACACCTGTACAGTGCGTTTCAAGAATTTACGGTACTTGCTTAGTCTTCTTAACTAAAACATCTTAACTTAATCCTTCCGGAAATTTTTTAGCAGAGATCGTGCCGATTCGTTCATATTTGAAACGCTTTGTATCTACACACATGAACATGCACACTCGCATAGATATGCATGCATACATACATACATATGTAGATACAAACCAAAACTTAACAAACGGTCACAAAATGTACATACATACATATGTACAATGAAAACTAAATCTGTAGTTTTCACAGATGGGAAGAGGGTATCGGAGAGCGGATAAAGATAAGGATAAGATTTGGAAGGATAGCATAATTTTCAGACCCCCAGGAATTATATCAAACAAAATACATACATATGTACATATATGATTTTTGTTTTTGTTTTAGCAAAGTTGACTTGTAGCTTAGAACATCGTACCTATGAATTAACAATATAGATTTTAATTGTGTTTGTCTATTACCCACATATGTATCTACTTGTTGTATAGTTCGTATGTACTCGGATAATCGGCCTTAACATTCACTCAAAATTGGTTTGTTTTCCATTGTCCCCGTTTAGCTTAAGTTGCGTTCTTCAGCTTTGTAATGGACACCAAATTAATTTGAAAGCATTGATACTAATTCACGTACTATAGGATCTAGGGGCGCGCGATAGCGCGAGCAGCGAATCACTACCAAACTAATGAGTAATCTTTTAACAAAGAGCAAACTAACAATTTAATTGTTTCAACACTCACACACCATACACACATAACAAATGAAGATTTGGCTGATCGATCCCCGGGGTGTACAAGTAATTATAGAAGAGAATGTGGCAATCTGGTGGGAGGAAGGGAGGCAAATGCACCCCGGGGCGTTCGGGCATTATTTTGGGCAAGAGCCCTATACTATATGTATGAATGTACATTGTATGCACATACGAGTATATTTACTACACTGATATATCCCAGAACATATAAAATGTATTTTAAATACAGTTAACGTGTAATTATCAATTCATTTCGAAAGCAAACTAACTATTACAAATGGAATAGATTAGACCACGAGAGTATACTCTAGCGAACAGCAGCATAATAGATTTTAATCACAAGAATTTAATTAATAAACGCCTATATACAATTGTATAAACCAACAGCCAAGCCAAGTCTTTCACTCCATATGCACACCGCAATTCCTGAACTTAATTCCCACTCTGGTACTTTATTTATCCTCAAATTCTAAGTATAAGAATGTACATACTATTATGCATCTGCGAAAAGTAGTGCCCTCTATATATACTCTACGTATGTACATATCAAAGTCGCACTTGCAGCAGTATGAAAATATAGTATATATGCAATCTATTGGAGTTCGTAACGGGAGTGGAGCGGAGTTTTGCGGAACAATGGACGAACGACAGGTTTGGATGCAGACTTAAAGGTCACCGAATGCGTCGAGGCCTCCGCCAATCTCCTTGCCCATGCGCGACTTTTCCTGACTCTCGGTCCAGGCTTTGGCAATCATCTGCTTGGTCTTGGAGTCGCCGTCGTTATACATTTTTTTCATGATGTTGACCAACGCTGACTCCGGATTCTCGGTGTCCTTGCTCATTTCAGTATCCTGCTTCTGCTTAAGGCGCTTCTGAATAGAGGTGAGCACATCCCAGTTTACGCCCTCCTCGGCTTTCTTCAGATAGATGGCTACCATGTCGGTCTTTATCTTGCGATAGCTCTTATCCACATCTATCGCGTGCAGCAGATTGTTCACGGACAGACCAAAGTCTTTACCGCTAAGGTCGCACACATGGAGCTGCAGCGAGGTCTCGGTGTAGTTGACAGTGACGGACTCTTCGGTGCAGCCCTGTACGCCATTCAATGTGATGAAGAGTTTGACAAATTTGGCACTCTGGTCCCATCCGTAGTCAGTGAGCTCATGCAGATATCTTTGGGGGAGGAGAGAAATCAGCTGTAGAAATAGCTTGTCTCAAATTGAGTCCTACCTTTTAGTATCGCTTGAACTAGACGACTGGCGCTCTGCGGCGAGGCGTGCCTTCATCTCCAGGTTGACAATCTCGCGCTCCGCCTCTGCCTTTCCTGTAGTGAGAACACCTTTGATGCGGGCGCTTTTCGCCTGTTCCAGCAAAGCAGCAAATTCGGCTACATCGGACTTAAGCTATTTTTACGGGTAAAACCGAATGAGAGTTAATTTTACTCGGAAAACAGATGATGACTAAAGATTTATTTACCTGTTCCATCGACATCGCACAATTTTTTTGATATTGCTTTACTTATTTTAAATTTGTTGGAAATTTCGAGTAAATTTACTGACGCCGGCGCCGTCTTGTTTAGAATGTACTATAAAATGACAAAAGCCTCGTAAAGCACATTGGCTCTCATCGATTAATATCGTTTGTATTCGTCTTTTTTGAGGCAGAGTATTTTCAGTTTTAGAAAGTTGGCAGCTCTCCGTCTTATACTAAAGTAACGGCACTCTTCCAGTTGTGCCAATACTAAGTGTATGTCGCGTTAATAAAAAGGTTAAATTGTGTTCACATTGTGGTTTTTGTAAAATATGAGCCTGGAAGACGAGAGCTTTCCCGCCGACGAGCTGTTCGAACAGCTTAATAGTGCGAGCATAGGTGCTTCACGCCAGTTCAAGAGCCAATTTGGCGAACACGATCAGCCAGAGGCATTTGAGCGCAATCCCGCGCCATTTTTAACCAGCGATTGCTCTGATGAGAGTTCGTTCATCGATGCCGCCAACAAGAGCGCCAAGACCTGTGTCAGTGACCCGGTGGGCCTTGACCAGTGTGAAGAAGAGGAAGAGGTAGACAAAGGTAAGCAATCACATTCCTAATCCTCTAGCGTTCCCACTTATCGTTGTGGTTAATGCAGATTTTGAGGATTCTGCCCTAGCGAACGGTAATTCCGAACTTCAGATAAAAAGCGCCCGGAGCAGCAAGTCTGTCTCCTACCAGGATATTCACTCGGCGCACACAAAACGGCGCTACAAACACGTGACTAGCAAAGTGGCAAAGTACATAGCGGATATCCATGCCCAGGACCAACAGCGTCGCAATGCGACCAAGAAGTTCCAGCGCCACAGCTCCATGCCGGAGTATTTGACGCCCACAGCCAGAGAGCGCGGGGCCCACTTCAGTGTAGACGAGTTGCACAATCTGGACGAGTCTCTGGATAACAGCAGTGCGGGAAACATAACTGATGCCAAAACCCCCAACGACAGCTACGAGCGCCTGCTCAGCGAGAATGAGCGCCTGCAGAATGACAAGGAGGACCTGAAGTCCTACAGCGACTATCTGCAGACCAAGCTGGACGAGAAGGCAATGGAGAACATGCAGCTGCGGCGCAACTTTGACGTCTTGCGCACCGATCTGACCGACTGCAAAGAGAAGTTGAAACGCAATCAAAGTTACTCGCTTCGTTCCCTCAACTTCTGTCCGCCCGCGAGCGTCCCTAAGGCCACACAAACCGACCACGAATTACTCTCCCATGCCCCGAACATATCCCGACTATCGAACATGGTCGCCATTGCAGATAGCGGAACGCCGCTTCCCGGCTCCAATACGAACAATCTCACCTACGATAGCAGTGCCGGTTCCATTGAGGTGGCCCTGCTGAGCGTGGCACCCGCCGCCCGTCAGCCCAATGCCGGAAAACCGAAGAAGAACATCCAGCCGCACTCGCTGGACTTCAGCAACGACAGCACCGAAGCAGAGCCTAATGGAAATGGTGCGTACTCTCGAAAGGCATTCCAACCTTTCTATTTTGTCTCTTAACTCTTCCTGCCAGGCACCACCTCCACTGGCCATTCATCCTCCCGAGCCATCACCTCCAGACGGGGCGCGGCCCCCAACAACTCTGAGAGCAGTCACCCAAGCAGCAACGACTCTGCCATCGAGGTTGAAGCCCTCGATTTGCGCTCACCGTACCATCGCCAGCCCCAAGGCAGCATCTACCCGCCGATGCAAGATTGGGGTCACAGTGACGGCATCTATTTTTTCGACAAGCGCAGGAGCCGCGTCATCGAAGTGAGGTCTATTAATGTAAGTCAAAGTTCCAATCCAGAGCAAAATTCCGGAACAAGTGAGACCAACCTTTTGAACCAGTCCCACGTGCAGTTCAGGCACAAGAGAACTTCGATGGGCACTCGCATGCTACGCCTTCTTGGGCCTTGTGTCCGCTGCACAGACACGAACCAATCGGTCAACGCCAGCAGCGCCACCTACACCATTGGCCTGCCATTGCTTCGCGAGGAATACGGCGGTCGACACACCGACCGCTGATCTATATACATACATATATACTAAATAATGTGTCGATCACTAAAAATTTGTCTTGCTTTCGTTTTAATTATTGTATCAAAATGTATTATTTTATGTTGCGTTAAGTATGGTATCCTTAATGTTCCTCGCTCTTTTAGCCGCCTATTTGGCGAGAGTATCCTGTCATCTACAATATGTGAATGTATGCATGTAATCCAAGTTAAAACCCCATGCTAAATATATGTGTATTTTTGAATATTTTTAAAGTTATTTACTACGAGTTGGTAGTCCAGAATAATCGATAACATCATCAGCTGGCGCGCCTGGCATTTATCGATAGCCGATAAGTGCGAAATGCAAATGCAAGCGAATTCTGCTCGGGGTCGTCGAAGAAAATACGTAAAAACGAAAGTCAGACGAGCCTCCAACGCTGCGCAAATTAATTAGATAATACGCAAAGTGTGGTAGATGTTTCCAGTCTTTCAAACGCAGAAAATCGGCCAAAACCAAACGCCACCAAGTCGCGGGCGAAGCGCCACCGCTGAAGAAGACTGAGCAGTGAAGGGCGGCCCAGGCGGCAGCCCAAGCTGGGGACGGCGGCGACAACAATAGGAAGTTGAAACAGAACCAAATCCCAAGACTAGACAAGTAAGTAGGCGTTGGACAATTTTACCGCACGGCAGGCAGCCCGATGTACGTCAGTTGCAGTTGAAGCACTCGACAATTCGGTCAAAAATTAATTGTGTGCACAGAAACACACTGGAGTAGTGGAGAATCACTACGCCCGAACCGTTTTAATTCTCGACAAACAAAATTTTCAGTATATAAATATCTAGAGCACAACAGAGATCCTTCTCTCGACAATTCTTGGGAAAACGGTAGCTCTGGACGTCGCAATCACGAACGCACACGCACGCGTCAAACAAACGCTCACGCTCGCAGGGAGTCGTTCAGAAAAAGCTCGTCTCATTTCACAGCCCCATGGACCAAGCCGATGAACAGAAACAGCAACAGTCCACTATTGCCACAATAAAATACTCCCAGCCCAGCTCCAGACCCATCAGTTGAACCCTGCAATGGCGGAGCGCTTCAACAACGAGCCGATGGCTGTGCACCAGCAGCATGCCCAGCACAACCGCAAATCCAAGCATAACACAATCCAGTTTTATACTGGTAACAGTCCCCTTCTCCTCGTTAGTGGTGGCGGTGGTATTCACGCCAGGCAAGCGACTCGCCTGGATACGCCGGCCAGAGTCAGAAACCCAGTGACAAAGCTGCAAAAGCAGCTCAGCCACAGCACCAACTGTAATGATAGCGGGCTAGCCGTAAGTTCTGTCCATAGCCAGCCCCTTGTAAAACCCACTGTGGAGCAAAACGGAGCGCCCATTGTGGAGCAGCAGTTGCCGTCTGCAGAGGCAGCAGGAGCAGTAGTGGGAGCCGTAGATGCAGCAGAAGCCGCACCACCATCAGGAACGGAACTCGATATAGCCACAGGAGCCAGATTGATGAAGCTGCGTAACAAAAGCGAAGGTATGTACGACGAAGCTACCTCATTGCCAGCATTTTTGTGGGATTGCGAAGGAAGAGTTTTGTGCGCATTTCCAAATCTATTGCGTGCGGTGCGTTTTCAACGTGCGAATGGGTAGCACCTGTAGAATGTGTTTAGCTCTTGATTAAAAACCCCTACTCTTATTTCTCCCTCCCCACAGATGCCATCACTGACTTGCTAACGCGCATCCCGGACGTGGGCCATCTGTTTGACGTACAGAGCCGGATAGGCAACGGCACCTTTAGCACCGTACTGCTGGCCACGCTCAAGCGAGAGGCGAATCTTCCGGAGAGCATGCGGCGCAAGTTCGCCATCAAGCACCACATACCCACCAGCCATCCCGACCGGATTATGAAGGAGCTCCAGTGCATGACCAAAATGGGGTAGGTTCCAACAGGGTCGCCACCCCGTCACAAACACCCAAAACCGACGTAGTATCCACATACGTAGAGATATATGTATACCCGTAGCGTGGCTCTGCCACACAGTGGTGTGGTGGGTTTGTGTTCGTTTTCGTCCTCGTTTGCGTCAGAAGTCGCTAACGTAACCGACGTCAGCCGGTAACCGGCAGCCGCCGCTCCGCAATCTACGTCATTGCAATTTATTTAAGTTGGCAGCCCGAACGAACGAACAGACGAACAAACGCACGAACGAGCCAGCGATGAAACGAATGAACGTTTATTGCACTTGCACTTGCACACACCATTCACGTGCTCATTTACAGTTTAAGTGCTGTCACTCTGTGTCTGTCTGTCTATCCGCCCTCGCCTCAGCGGTTTCTCCCGCTCCAATGACGATTGGGTCGTGCTAGTGGCAAAAAATGATGAATCAAATAAATTGATGGAGATATTTGCATATCCTCGACTTTAAACAGCCGCTTATCAATTCAATAACTGCGAGCAGCGGCAGCAGTTGCTTTGAGATTAGATTAGACACAGCGTTTCGATGGCTGCTAGCCGACACATACCCAATCCGTTCCATACCACTTTAAACCGCCTGGCGCAAGAGTATCTCGCTAACGGCTGGTCGGGTAAGCTGACCCAATATACCAATACCGCTCATGGAGAGCGCACTAGTCGAGGGTGTGGACAAGAGAGACGAGCCAGAGTGGTCGCGTAGGTGAACAGCAGTGATGACGTTGAGATGACTCCAACCTCAGTCCGGCCGCATACATATACTTGTACATGCTTGCATGACATTAGCCGGCTGCCTCCTCATTTTCCTCTCGAAGCAGACGACCCACGGCGATTTTTGTCTATTCAAGCAATTTGCGCAAATTCCGTAGTCCAATTGCGTCACAACGACGATAATTATGACCAGTCATGCCGATTGCTCGCGTATTCCTATCGCTCATCGCTGTGTGACGTCGACACGCTGTCACAGACTGGCACACTGAGAGGAGGCGGGGAGAGTGTTTGTTTGGTTGTGTGTGGGCGGTTTTTTTTGTTATGTGCATGCAAACAGATCTAGACCAAAGGGTCCTAGGGTGCTAGATCTATAGATTGGATAGTCCCTAATCTACTGTTATCTCCCTCTTTTTCATTGACAGCGGAATGGACAACGTCGTGGGAATCCACTGTTGCCTGCGATGTGACGCCTCAGCCGCCTTCGTGATGCCATACATGCCGCACGACCGATTCCATGACTTCTACACCAAAATGGACGTGTCAGAGATTCGGCTGTACATGCGCAACCTGCTGGTGGCCCTGCGCCACGTCCACAAATTCAACGTCATCCACCGGGATGTAAAGCCCAGCAACTTCCTGTACAACCGCCGGCGCCGCGAGTTTCTTTTAGTGGACTTTGGGCTGGCCCAACATGTCAGTCCTCCGGTCCCGGCCCCGGGCACGGCCGTAGGACAGCAGGAGCAGCGCAGCCGCCACACTGGAGGGGCTGGTGGTCCGCACAGCAAGCGCTTCAGAGACAGGGAAACGGAGGCACTGCAGACAACAGTTGCTGCTGCTACAGCGGTGGCCGCAGCCGATGCCGGCCTGGGTGGAGCAGTTAAGCGCATGCGGCTGAACGAGGAGGGCGGCTGGAGCAAGATGCCGCTTAAGCCGGTCAACGAGATTGCCCATGCCCAAAATGAGTTGAAAGAGGTTGTCCCTCAGGTACCAGAGACACAGCTTTCCACTCAGAACATCCACCAGCAACAACAGCACATGCAACCGGACCAGACTACAAGTACGGGCACAGGCACCGCAAGCACATGCAGCAAGTACAACACAAACCGAAGCGCCACTGGATCCACAAACAGTGCCAAGTGCTTCTGCTTCGCCAACCCGGCGGTGTGCCTCAACTGTCTTATGAAGAAGGAGGTGCACGCCTCGCGGGCTGGCACTCCTGGCTACCGTCCACCCGAGGTGCTGCTCAAGTATGCGGACCAGACCACGGCCGTGGATGTGTGGTCCGTCGGCGTAATCTTTCTCTCGCTCATGTCATCGGTTTATCCGTTTTTCAAGGCACCCAACGACTACATAGCCCTGGCTGAGATAGTCACCATCTTCGGAGACCAGGAAATACGCAAGACGGCCTTGGCCCTGGAACGCATGGTCACCCTCAGCCAGCGTTCCCGTCCGCTAAACCTACGCAAACTCTGCCTGCGGTTCCGAAACCGAGCCATCTTCAGCGATGCAAAGATGCTGAAGAAGTACGAGGCACCCGACGGTCAGTGCGAGGTCTGCAAGAACTGTGACCAGTACTTTTTCAACTGCCTGTGTGAGGAGAGTGATTATGTGACCGAACCGCTCGAGCCTTACGAGGTCTTCCCCGCCTCCGCCTACGACCTGCTGGAGCGCCTTCTCGAGGTCAATCCGCACAAGCGCATCACCGCCGCCGAGGCCCTGCAGCATTCTTTCTTCAACTGTCAGGGCCAAGGCCAGTGCACACAGTCGGGTGGTGATGAGCAAGTCGCCAACACGCCCCGCAAGGGCCGCACCGCTTCCACTAGGCAGATGACACGTCGCCGTTTTGCCAATAGAGCCGTCTCAATGGGAATACAGCCGCTGCAGCAGCTGGAGATAGAGCAGCAGCTGCTGTATCCCGCCAAATTGGAGGAGCTCCAGACGGTGCTCAATAAGCTATAAAGCTAGTCGTTCCCTGCACATTGTATATAGACTATACATCTCTTCCAAATCACCATACAATATCTGTACATACACCAACCATCTCAGCTTGTTCGCTACCCAGGGCGCGCATCTAGAACAAGCACCTCAGCCTCACATCCGCCGCCCCCGGCCACATATACTTACCTCAAATTTGCTTCTCATTTAAATTTGAAGAGTCGTCTATCATATACTCAAAAAAAGGAAACCAAAAAGAAAGTATGCATACTATACATGTATATTTATAGCAGTGTTAACCATGAAAAATAAGAGAAAAAAAATACCAAAAATTGAAAAGGATAAGAGAGAAAAGTGAAAAATACTGTAAAGGAATACAATAAATATAATATGAAGTTTATTTTATACATATATGTAGTAGCAGAACCTTTGCAATCTTCTCTTCTTGATGCTCACGCACTCCCCATTCGGATGGAACTCTGTTCTATTACGTGTACATACATATATGTATGTATGTAAATTTGGTTCATAGTTCGAATAGTTATAAGTTACCCATCTATGTATGTATATCGAAACGACTTATAAACAGAGATACATGCATACATATATGCAGAGAGAATATATTTATACGATGCGCTCACAATGTAACAACAATTCAATCCAATCCCAGTTGGGTTTTATTTAATATCTCGTCTCAACGGGCTCATATTTATTACATTTTATCAAAAGCTTAGGTTTGCTAAGTTTCCATCTTTTGGGGTCTGCTGCGCGTCGCCCTGGCCGGATTTGTTGCTGGTGTCGAATCGGTGTCTGTGGTTTTCACTTTCTCCTCAACTTTGATGCGTTTTCCGGCGATGACTTCCTCCTTTGTGGGCTGTGTTTCTATGCCCCGCTTCTTGGCCTTCTGAAAGCTGCCGCGACCTGCGGCACGCTCAGATTCCTCTATGCTATACGGTTCTATTTCAAGGGCCTTGAGGCGCCGCTTGTGAACTTTGGTGCGAAAGTGTCCCTGCATGGCTGTGTCGTCAATGAAGTATTTGGCGCAGTGCACACAGTAGAACTGGGCAAAGCCTGGCTTCTCCAAGTCAACGTTCTGATTGATTAACTCGCCGCTGCGGGTGCGAAGATCGTCATCGATTTGGTCCAGATCGCGACGGCGGTTTCGGACGCGCCAGCGACGCTGCAGGTGCGTATCACCATAGTGCATCTTCTTACGCTTCGTTACCATTCCCATAATGAGGCTTTTTTATTCACTTCTTGCAGTGCAAAACAGATCTTTGTTTTGTCTTCGTTCTGGACTGCACGTGTTTTTGTTATTGCCTGCTCGTATGGACAATAACAGATGCTAGGGGTGAACTAAAAAGTGCGAAAGGCCCGTAAAAGTATTAGAACAATTATGATATAAGATAGCGACTTAATGTGTATGTTATTCACACCTGCTACGCAAATAAACGTTTTCTTTAAATTACTACGCAAAAACATTCGACCGCTACTTGCTGGCGATGAAAGGAGCACGATAACGCTGGTATATCGATAGATCGGTGCAGCGGTTTGGTCACACTGCGATTGCAGCTGTTTTATCTATTAATTTATTTTAAATTCACTATACCACCAAAAAATAATCTTTTGAAGATGCACCTAAACAAAATTGGCAATTACTTTTCAATTGTGTTTTGCTTCAGCATTCATTTATCATCCCATTGCAAATCTTTGTGTGTCATTTTTTAGTGCCACTTTGTGCAGTAAGTATCGCGGTTTTGAATAATAAAACATATGTTCGCAATTAATTCATCAACAATCGTACGAACAAGTTGTCTGCGGGCGGACGTCGTGCGCAGATTGTTTTATCAAAACGGCAAATACAAGTAAGCCATTACAGTAGGATAAAAAAAGAGCTGGACAATTGCAGCAGCTTGATTATGTGCAAGCAATTCTTGATCCATCGATACGCACACAACGGCAGTGTATCTTACACGCAAATATGTATGTGATTAAATAACACAAATGTGAGCCTGTATTCGTGGAAATAGCTCGCGTTTTTGTAATAATTATCGTAACTAAATGGATGTTGACGCAGGGTGCCAACGGGGGCGTTGTCATCTAGTGGAAATCGCGATGCTGCCGAACCAATTTCTGTGATGGCTGCTATTACCACATATTTACATTTATGTATGTTAAACGATGAAATGATATGTGCATAGAGCTGGAAATATACTGGAACGCTGCTGCACTAGTCTCGCACGGGTCGTTGCAAGGCGGCATTGTTCTGCTCACATTTTATTGCTGACGACGGACGTAGTTTATGTATTTTGTTAATTGTTGATATTGTTTTAGCCACACATTCCGCTGAATCGATTCATTGATGCCGGCTTTATCGCAGAATTCGCAGCATTAAAACAACATCCCGAATTTCACACCAGCTGCTGTAAGTATAGCAACAACAACAACAGTTAAAATTACACCAAAACTCTAATCGATAATCGAAGACCGAACTCGGAACGCTTGTATGCCGATTACGTTTATCAGTTCTGACGATCATTTTATCAGTGATTCGCCATTGAACCGTTATGCGTACAACTACATACGCATGCGTGCTCTTGTGTGTAGGGTTTCGTTTCCTCTGATTAATTTCAGTTTTTGATCGCAACTCACTGTAACATAACATTCTCGCCCTCCTTCTTCTCGTTTCCCTTTTCCCTGCTGCTCCACACGCATCGACAGAAAATAATCGCTGCAGCTGCACTGTCTCTGCATGATCTGCTCTTTTGCTTCTGCCTTGTCTCTGTCTCATTTTATCTTTATGCTCGATTCCATGACATTTTTTAAAGCGACTGCAACGGTACAATAGATCAAATGTGTTTTATGATATGGAAATAAAGTTTTTATACATATCTACATTTGTATGTACGATTGTAAGATTGTCTGAATCTTGCAGCATTCATTCATTTACACTGCCAGCAGCTGACGCAACGCTGATAGTACCAGGGGATGGAACTAGTTGGTAGTACAGATACATGAAAGCGAGAGTCTGCGAGGGAATGAGCAACCGGTTTCGCCCGTCTCTATCTCAGTTTGTTAAACTTATTGCAATATCTATGGAGCTGGACCCCGACAAAATGCAGCTCTACGAATATACAATGTATTTCAAGTAGCCAATTATGCTTGTTCTCTTTTGGTGTGCGCTGAATTTTCCAATCCGGATACCGTCAAAGCTCCCTTTCTCTCTCTGACAGTCAATTTCCCTTTAATTTTGCGGTCTTTGTCTGGGCCAAATCGAAAGCAAACCAAACCAAACGACACAATCCAATCCAATCCAACCAGTTCGGCCAGTCAACGGACAACAGCGTTCCCCAACAGATCACATACAAATAATCAAAGCAATATCAACGCTTTCAAAGCCCGCCTCCAAATTGCAATTGTCAGTTCAATTGCGCTCCATTAAGATTTCACCAGTAAGAATCTCTATATTTCAGCTGAGATTGAAACGGGGTTTCCCCATTTCATCTCTTCTTACGCTCGTCTACAATCTAATAATAGAAGTATGAGAGAAAGAGAGAGAGGGATGTCTAAGTACGTGGCTGTCACTTCTCTGGAATCGTCATTTTCCGTGTATGTTGCATGCTGGATCTAGGTCTTTTAACGATCTTCTACTCATTTCGAGTTTATTAGCATGGAGCCTTGATTGGAACCGCCACTTCCTGCACGCGCAATATCAGCCAGCTTTGCGGTAAACTTACACTCCCGGCCCTGACATCATTCCAATCAGATATCTTCCAGTGTCTGCGGTGGTCTCGGAAATTTTGATTTTCCACTGATTGCGGCAGGGCCAAGCCTTATCACAGTTTCTGCCGTTGCTTCTTCTGCTGCTCTAATATGTAGGCACCACAGCCGCAGGCCTCAGATAAAGAGACAGCCAAATAATTCGGTGAACCGCAATGAAAAATACTCGTAAAATAAAAAGAGTTTCGAGTCGAGAATTCAACACTCGCCTCAACTTCTGTGTCTGTTTCTGTTCCGTGCTGCCATTTCAAGACAAGAGCATAAGCACAAGAGCACTTCGATTCGTTGCTCGGGCGGACTGAAGAAACGGCTGGAACTGAAAGTGCCTTCCAAGCGGTGAGAAGGTATAGGATTCTCTGTCTCTCTTCATCTTCCGCTATGCATTCGTAGGGGGGTCGGAGCAAATTTAAGAAACTCGAGGTCAAAAGCTGGGTCACCCTGCATCTCCCGTCGGGAGGTACTTGGAGTTATGTCAGACACTTCCATTTCCATTCCATTTCGCCTCGGCGGGTGAATGGGAATTGGGAAAAGAAATGGGGAATAAAGGTAGTCACTAACAAAAGATTGCCTTTCTAATTGGAATTTGACTGCATGCGATTTAGGTTGGATCGACAGACACGTGTCGTGTCGAATTTTATAATGGCAAAATAATTCAGGTACGCAACTTTCTCTCACGTTCCGCAGACAATAAGCGCAGATCAACGATACTCCACAATCAGAGCCACAGCAAAAATGGACCACGCCCATCACACTGCGCCCAATGTTGGTAAGTACTCGGTAACTCGGCACTCGCGGGGCCCAGAGATCTCCATGGTAAGGTAATCGCTTTTCCGACAGATCATTCCCTGCACCATGACCACGCTGGCATGCACCATGATCACAGTGGGATGGACAGCAGCATCAGCCCCACCACCACTACCACCGATTCCACGACCCACGACATGCATGCGGTACACCATCATAGTGGCGGCGGTGGAGGCACGGGCACTGGCATGGAGCATATGATGTCCATGGCGGTAAGCAACGAAAACACACATCCCGTGTTATGCCTTGAAACTCTGATTGATCTCTCTTTCGATCTGCTTTGGATAGTTCCACTTTGGCTACAACGAGACGATCCTCTTCTCCTGGTGGCACATCGATACGGTCTCCGGCCTGATTGGGTCGATGATCGCCATCTTCCTACTGGCCCTGCTGTACGAGGGGCTCAAGTACTACCGCGAGTATCTGTTCTGGAAGACGTATAACCTGCTCGAGTACCGCCCGGTGACGGGTCCCCAGCGCAATCCGGAGGCGCCGCGACTTCCCTCCGCAGCGGCGGCTGCCCCATCCCCAGTGCAGTGAGTACTATCCCGGGATTGGCTTCCGTGTTCCGTTGCTCGTTCTATAAATATATTTTTTCTCCCCCGGGAATACCCCCGTGGGAACGTTCCCCCAATGGTTATCGCATGCTTGACCTTTGTGTCCTGCTTTGTGGCCTCTGTTCCTGTACTTGTAAATACTAATTTTAATGCTTTCTTCTTCTTTCTCGTTTTCGTTGCCGTTATCGTTACCGTTACCGTTAAACTGTTACCGTTTTGCTCCCGCTCCCCGCTCTTGTGTGTACCATCCATCCGCATTCGCATCTCCATTATCCGCTCCATCTGCATCTGCATCTGCGCCGCCGTTTACCATTTGTAAATTCGATCCGCAAAACACGCTCATTCTGACCGCTTTCCCATTAAACGTAATCGCTGATTGAATTGATATATTGTATTCCGAATCTGTATCTGTATCCGAACCTGCATCTGTTTACTTGATCCGCGAACCCGCATCTGAATTCGAATCCGTATACGAATCTGTAACTGTGCCACGCTTCAATCGATGTTTTAGATACGTTGGCGAAGTTGTGCACAAGCAACCGTAAGTATCGCTGTTTCAGCCCTTTTCCAGTGCAATTCTGTAAATCTTGAATGCTACCATCTAAGTTTATTATATATCGTATTACCCAGAGCTCTGTTTTCACATTTCACGTCTGGTGCTGACTCAAACGTCTGTCCGATTGTATTGTCGATAGTCTGCACTTCATCGGAATTGCACTGATGCCTGACTGAGCGCACCTGTTTCTATCCCAGTTGATTAGGCCTGCTCGTATCGGGTGACACTTTTTCCACATCTTGGATCAATATAAGTAGTACATATTAAGTACATATGTAAAGTGCACGCAGTAGAATTCGACTGTACGATACCTCAACCAAAGCAAACGAGGCCAACCTTAAACGTAGCCCCAAACCCTAGTCTAGTGTAGGTTAGCTTAACACCGATACACAAGGACGAACTGAACCCGCTGGAAGAGCTGTTCTGTTCCGTTCTGTGCCATTCCCTTCTTCGTTTTGTTTTTGTTTCTGTTTCAGTTTTCTCGTGTCATCCTGAGCTTCTCTATATACTCCTGTCCTATCCTTCCATTTTGATATATCTGGTATCTGACTGCGACTATCTTTTCCATAGACCCTCGATGCTCTCGGTCAACCATCTGTACCAGACGCTGCTTCACATCCTGCAGGTGACGCTCTCCTTCCTGCTCATGCTGATCTTCATGACGTACAACGTCTGGCTCTGCCTGATGGTGGTGCTGGGCGCGGCTGTGGGCTACTTTCTCTTCTGCTGGAAGAAGTCCGTCATCGTGGATGTGACCGAGCACTGTCACTAGCAGCGGATCAGCCTGGATCGAGGCAGTCTCCGGTGTCTAACTCAGGAGGAGGAGTTGCCCGCAACCTAGATGGATCAATGGTGCAAGGCAGGAAGGCCCGGAAGCTCACACATACCCATAAAGACACTCACGCCCTACGCCCTCTCCTGTTCTCCTGCTCCTTGCAACTACTCTTTAGGTATTAGTCGATCTTTAGCAAGAGCTGGACCCCAGCCCAGGGCTGGCCAACACATTGTTTAAAACTGCCGCACTCTTTCCCCTGGAAAGAGACAACTGTAAAATTGAATAGAAACTCAAAACTACACTTAACATTTATTCAGCGCAAACACTTCCGAAGAGGATTTAAATAGATTAAGTTGAAAATTTAAAAAAATTGAACAAACTACGGAACAAGAATTTAGAAAGCGAAGTCTAAAAACTGTAGATACGCGCGAACCCAAGGCAATAGTTGTTGGAGAACTCAGTCGATATTTGCTCGAAAAAAAGCACATACACAGATATTTCATAAACTTTCCAATCGCAGGATTGGATCGCCCCCAAAACAAATATTTTTTATCAATCTTATTATACCATTTTGTATGCATGTTATACTATTATGACCTTCTTATTATTTGGTAATAAAATCTTTTTTTTTTTTGTATACAATTTTTGTTCTCTTTGGTTCGGTAACCTAAAAGACATTATGTAAAACTATGTATGTAAAAGTATCGTTTAAAAAATATCCACAATATGAGGAGAGATGTAGATGGCTATGATTGGTTTTTGTCAAAGAGAGTGTTTCAGCGCGACAGGGTGTCCTTGGCATTATTTGCGCACGAAACCATGCTCACCGACACCAAATCTACCCAAATTGTACATTCAAAGTACAATTATGTCGTTGCGCTGCCACCAGTTCGACTAGAAAGCCAAACTAGATTGCACAATTCTCTCGTTCACTCTTAGCTTGAACTTCAAGTCTGGTTGAATAAGACCATAAACTATAAATTTATTGTACATATTAAATATCTGATTGAGCCAAATAATACCTATTCGATGACTTGGTCAATGCGCAACATTATTGAATTCAATTTTTCGATAACTACTACGACTCCGTAATGGACCTTTAACGATATGAAAAGTACTGTATTGCATACAGTCTTGCATAAACCATCCTCGTATAATATGCATCCACGTACAATATGTACATATATAGTTCTGTACATCCCGCCGTTGATGATCGGTGTGCATAAATATAAATAGATACATATGTATGTACATATGTGTGTATATGTGTGTACCCACGTACATTGTAGATATTGAATATAAAGCAAATACATACGGTGAATAATGGCAAATGCAATTTATAAATATGATTCTTATTATTAATATGTATTAAATTTACCAATTTACCATTTATGTGAATATACAAAAATTAATATACAACAAACAAAATATTCAAAAGAAAGAAAGGAAAACTGCCATTCGATGCGGGAAAACCTGGAAATGAGAGGACGAAAAGAAAACAATAGATTGGGGACCTTTTCGGGATTAGCTTTGATCTTTATTAGAAAATTATTGCGAGTCTCACTATTTAGAATGTTGTATCCTTACTCATAGCGTATGTAAATCATACTTAAAAACATCTTTACATGACTACAGGCTTTCGATCGATTGATAAATAAATAATTATGATTCGTTAGGCTCTACAAAATTGTCCTGAAAAAAACTTGATCTTTCCTCTAAGGACAGGAATATGACTGCGCTTTGCCACGGAAGGGTGGGCTGGGAGTGGGGGACTCAATTGAATTGATTGGTTTTCTAATTCATCGTAACCGAAATGGGGAAAAGTAGTTAGGTATGAAAGACGCTCCAGCATTCGCAAGCGCACCAGATCGGGGAGGCCGGAAAGGAAGGGGCTTTCAGCCTATAGACTCACTCCATAGTGAGATCGTGGATCATGGGGTTCCCGATCCGACTGTGAAGGCTGCTCGTTATTAATAGGAACACAAAGTCAAATATGTACATGCATACATATATATATGTGCATGATCCCCATATATGTGTATATCTAAAGATGTGTGTATCTATATATGTTTTGAACTAAGATTTAAAGGGTGGTCCCAATAGACAGAGAGACTGACGGACTGGAGATGCGTGGTAAGGATCAGTGAACGGGGTCAGAGTCGAGGGCTAAAGATAGTTATAGATGAGAGAAATAGAAATTCACCTCGTATGTCTCAAGCCTAATAAAGTTCTACGCGAGTCTCTCTTCCGGGATCAGAGAATGGTGGATCGTTGGTCGTAGATTGCAGAGTATGTTCTGTTCATGGCGCATATATTCAATATATATTCAGCGACGCGCTGCCTTGTCTGTCGTGAAGAAACATTTATGTGGGGGAGGTGTGGCATAGAAGTTACCTGGTTGGTTCTTCTTTCTATCTATATATATATATATATATATATATATATATATCTTTCTCTCTATTGACCACAGATCCACATCCAAAGCCAGATCCAGAGTATTCCGAATGTTCCGGCTCCTGGAATGTTTGAGAAGGAGTTGTGTGAATCGAGGTGAGCATTTGATCAGCGATTGATAATAAGGGTTGTAGATTGGAAAATTGGATTGGAGACATGATCGATCTGTTATATATTTAAATATATTTATATTTATATATATATATATATATATATACATATATATATATATCAAGTTCGTGTATATGTATATATATATACGTATATGTGCGTGTGTGTGTGTGTGTCGGGACGGACACAAAAAGATGCAACTCTGAAGGCTTTACAGCTATTGGGTACGGTATGAGGGGCAAGATCAAATCTGATGGTTCTCTTCTGATCACGCACACACACACATTGGTATACATACATACACAATATGTAAATACACTTGTACACTTGGATGTCTTTTGCAATTATTTACTTTTCAAGAGCATTAGCATTTGGTATTATTATATTATCGAGGTCTGGGGTCAGTCACAATTTACCTGTGGATGAGTGTGGGGGAAAACTTGAGCATACGATACATACATACATATGTATATACGATTACATATGTATATGTATGTATATGGCACTCTGGATATGGTACACATAAAGGATGTTTGCTTTCCCTTTTTCCTGCTCTGTTTCTGTCTCTGTCGCTGTCGCTCTGCACTGTTCGCTTTCTCCCTCTGCCTACCATCGCACGCATTCGGGCACGACGCTTTATTGATTCATTAGATTTTCATTTTCATTTGCATTTGATTGGATTGGATTGGGTTTGATTTGATGTGATTCGTCAGTGCAATTACCTCGTGTTTTGGTGTTCTTCTAACGATCCCACCCTTTTTGAGGGAATACTTTTCTTAGGGATGATTGGGAGTATAAGTATCTGGAACCATGGGCCGGATTGATAGGGCTCTTAGATTAGTTGCACTCTTTGGGATGGAGAGCACAAACACAACGGCATTAAGGGAAGAACAAATATGAAGCATCAGGTGCTAAGTATGTATACATAAGCCGGCAAGCCGAAGTATTCTCTCGAGTACCCTTTCCAAATGGATGTGAACATGCGATAATAAGTAATCGGATGGAATGGAATAGAATCGAATGGTATTGCACCCTATCAACGGGTTCTGGTTCGGGCTCGGGTTCTGTTTCGGTTCGAATGCGTTCAGGAAAGGGCATCAAGGGCACACATGAATGTCCACAAATGTTCGGTCTCTCATTAATCTGCTTGTGCGTCTCCTGCTCCCAGGAAGGGGACTACGACTACATACCTCCGAGGGACGACGACCCACACAATGCTCCATATTCAGTTCTATCACATGCAATACGATTCTCTATATATATATATATACATATATATATTATATATATATATATATATATATATATATATATATATATATATATATATATATATTTATATATATATGTATGTATTTATTTATACATATACATATGTACATTCATATGTGTGTGCGTGTGTTTGCGGTGGAGTGGAGTGGGGATTGCATGATATGCGTGGGTGGGTAGGTGTGTAGATCTGTATCTGTTGGGTTAGTTAAGCGCAAAATAGAGATAACGGAATGGCTTAGTAAATACCTGTTTCAGTTACGGCTATGGTTTCGGCCAAAAGTCAGCCAAACATCCCAAATATTTGATGTACTTTATGTATCTGTCCGCTGGGCACTCTTTCTGTCACATACAAGGCATAGAGATTACACCTATTGTCCGCTACAAACAGATGCCCTCTCAACTAACTAACAAAATTTTTAAACTGTTCTCTTTCAGAAATCAGTTAAACATAGTCCCCGTTTTTGAACCCATGATATTTGGATATGGAATTGTCCGCCAAAGATTTATCTGAGTGTATCAAAAGGTATCAATGGTTAAATTTATTCTGTTTATGTACGATCTGATAAGTATATGATCAACATTACCAACCTCTGTCAATATAAATTATTCGTAGGTATAGAGTTCAGACTGGAAGGAAGTACATATCAAATCTACATATATACAAAATATTCATTACTCAAGTGTCTCTCTATTTCTATATATGTAAATATGTATGTACATGCATACATAGTTTTGTAGTTTTATGTATGATCAAACTAGGAATGTTCCTCTCTGGACAATTTTATCTGTAATTCAATATTGAATGAACAAATGTATAAGGATATACGGATAGCTTAAGTATAATCTCCATCCGTTTCTGTATAATTCCCAATTCCCATTTGATCAACAGTGAAAATAGTGAGTCTATCGATTGGGACAGCTCAGGAAATTCTCGTCTCTATCTTTTCGAAATCTATACTGAAAATACAAGCTCAGTTCGGTATTTGTCTTCACAATTCAGCACATCATACAAAAGGCTAACCCTACACTCTCCATAGAGACTTCCTATAGTGCTCAAGGCCCCTTCTTCTACATTTCTCTGCGGGGTATTCAGAGTGGGGAAATGTTGTCTGATTGTATTCCGTCCGTCTGCGCGATGTGTTTCTGGTTCTGGTTCTGGTTCAGGTTCAGTTTCACAATGGAGGGTTGAGAGGTACAAGTTATTTTGGTATGCGTACACAGGAATCATTTATATTTAAACAATATAGAGCTTGTGGTATGTTTACGGTGTGAAGTGATAAAGTACGGTATGGTACGGTACGGTGCGGTACGGTGGGTGACTCACCTTATTGACCTTGCTCTGGCAAGGATCTTATCTCTCCTGCCAGCTGCACTCTCATTCACTCTGATTCTGTTTCTTTTTTTTACTGTTCTGATACATATTACTTGAAATTTTGTTAATTATTTTTGGAGTACCTCGATGGTGTTGTTTGTTCTTCGGTTTCAGTTTCTCTTTCGGGTTGGGTTGCGGTTGCAGCAGCGATGAGGAAGGGACGATGACTCGGGCACATTGCCAGGTGCTTGTTGTGGATGCGTGGATACGTTGGGTACATTGGGTTAGCTACAAGGATCGCGGATATGGCTGAGTTCGTGTTGCTTCGTCTTCTGGCCTAGAGTTTCAGCTTAAGCGCTAGCCATCTTATCGTTTTTGGTCTCTAGTAGCGACTGCGGCTGCGACTGCGAGCGTGCCGTTCGCGGCTCTCTTGTCGATAGTGGCTATGACTGTGGTTGTGTTGTCTGCTCCGGTTGTTGTTGTTGCTATTGCTGCCGTTGCGCGAGTATGTGTGGCCGTGGTGCGACTTGTGGTGATCTGAAAACAATTCGATATTCAGTTGTGCCAGCCAGCACAAATACAAATACATAGAACAAGCTCCACTACGACTTAAACTCTGCTCGAGCCAGAGTGGGAACCGCCCGCTTACTTACGATGTCGTCTGTCTGAGGTCTGGCGGCTCTGCACATAGTCACGACTGCGCTCCCGATATTCGCGCGGCTCGCTGATGGACAGCCATCGGCAAAAAGAGACAGAACAGAATAATGATTAGCTCTATAGCAAGTTGAACAGTCAGAGCTGAATCTGGTTACCGTCTATTGTCGTATGAGTTAAAGCGCTGGCCCCGACCCTCGCGCCGTCTTCGTTCCTCCTGCTCGCGTTCCTGCTCGCGCTCCTGGTCGCGCTCCTTCTGCCGCTCGTCGTTGATTTCGGCCACCGCGTTGCGCACCTTAGAGTATCCCAGGTGTTGCTTGCCCATCAGATGGTCTTCAATTCGCTGCTGAGCATCGCCCACAATAAGAAAGGCACCGCAGATCTCGCACACCTTCATTTGCTTCTCGGGCAGGGCTTCGTGTGACCAATTTGACTGAGACTTGTTGTCTGTATTGTCCGACTTCTCCTCCCCATCTGCTCCTGATCCAGGGCCTGCTTTACATCCAGTGCTTTCTGGGTCCACTTCGGTTGGGGAGGCTGCTGCTGGTGCCACTACTGCTGCTTCGCCGGCCAAATCAATGGAGGCTGGGTTTATTGTTGTAGTTGGAGTTGGGGCTTGTGTGCTGTCGTGGATCACTGGGACATCGCAGAAGCTTGTCTTTGGACTGTGTATGGGATCGTCCGCACTGGACGGGTCCGGGGCGATCATCTTGCTGCTTGCCTTGCGGCTGGCATCGTACTGCTGCAGAAGCTGCTCCTTCTCTTCTTTGACCTCCTCGCAGAGCGTCATCAGATCCTGGGCCTGGTCAACGTCACCGCGGATACCAGCCTCTTCGGCTTCCGCCAGCAGCTTGTTAATGCGGGCATTCAGGGTGTTCAACTGGTCCTGATGCTTGCTCAATTGCAGCGTCGGTGGCGGGTGATCTCGCTGCATTAGTTGCAGACGCTGCTTACCCTTCTGAATCTTCCGGTCCACGTCGTGTAGCATCACGTTGCAGAAGCGAAGAAACTCATCCTCGTACTGGCGCTTCCGTGCCGGACGCGCCTCCTCGTACAGGTGCTTGGCCTCCTCGTCGTGAATGCGGGCGCAGGGACCGAGATCGGCCCGTGTGTTGATGAAGAGATCGTGCGGGCAGAACTTCACGTTGTAAAACTGACAAAACTGCAATTTGTGCATATGTAGAAGGAAGAAGTTTGCAAGGTCAGGCAGCCCCACCAAATACATATCGTATATATGTATACATATGTGAGGGGACGACTGGATATGATATTGTAGCCAGAAGCATAGAAGAACAGCCATAACACGAATGCGAGTGGATATTCCAATGGCGCTGGCAGCGCATACTCACCTCTGGATCCTCCCAGTTCACCTTGAGTCCTGCCTCCGATGGATGCAGGTTCCGATTGCGGCCCATTAGCTCATCGAGCATTTGTCTGGCAGCGTCCACCATTTTCGGTATCTTCGCTGGCGGCGGACAGGGCCAATGGTTGTGGGTGTAGTTGTGGGTGGCGTCCAAATAGTTTAAGTACTTGGGTCAGGTAATGTGGCCTCCGTTTCAATTGGACCGAAAGATGTGATCTTCCCTCGCGCTGCACAATATAACCAAGTTTTTATCGAAGAATCAATAAATTTGACGTCTGACCCTCAAAATATACCAAAATATACTGTCTCATTTTAAAAATATACCGTAAATATCCTCACGAATTCAAGTTATATTATACAAATTTTCCGTTTTTGATATTCCGTTGAATATTTCTAGCTAGATAGAATCCACAGCCCTGCCTACATAATTTTATCCGATTAATGAATCAATTTTCTACTTGATTGACTTATTTTAAATACTTGATTTTATTAGATTTTGTCTTACAAAAGGTTTTAGCGAAAAAGGTCCAACAAATAAAACGTAATACCACTCAAGGGAAAAATCGTTCCTATTGCTCAATTTTGATATTCTGTTGAATAATACTGGCTAACTAAGACCCTTAGCTCTGCTTAAATATTTTTAAGCCATTGATGAAGACAAGAATTTGACGCCTCCGTGAGTCTGGCCTCAGTGTGGCAGCCTCGTGAGCGGCCAACAGCACATTTCGTGCGCGTAACAGCACGCAAGTGGCGGCGCTGCCACCCCTTGCGTATGTCAAAACGAGCCAAACGCAATTGTCAAAAAACGGCGCCAAAATTGGCAAAAACTCGCAGCGGCTGTAAACAGTATTGATCATAGCATCGAAGTTTATCGCATCGTTTTAATTTGGTTTATCTTGGATTATTGAGAGTTACAGGGCTAAGTTTTCAGTAGAACCATGGATGTTGCAGATGCACAAATCGGTCAGTTACGCGTCAAAGATGATGTGGGAATACGCACCCAGAAGCTCTTTCAAGACTTCCTCGAGGAGTTCAAGGAGAATGGCGAAATCAAGTACACTCGTCCCGCCGCAAATCTGGAGTCGCCCGATCGCTGCACCCTTGAGGTGAGCTTTGAGGATGTGGAGAAGTACGACCAGAACCTAGCCACGGCTATCATCGAGGAGTACTACCACGTCTACCCGTTCCTCTGCCAGTCGGTCTCCAACTACGTGAAGGATCGCATTGGCCTCAAAACAAACAAGGACTGCTATGTGGCCTTCACGGAGGTGCCGACTCGTCACAAGGTACGTGATCTGACTACTTCGAAGATCGGCACCCTTATCCGCATCTCCGGTCAAGTGGTGCGAACGCATCCCGTCCACCCGGAGCTCGTCTCGGGCACCTTCATGTGCCTGGACTGCCAAACTGAAATCCGTAACGTGGAGCAGCAGTTCAAATTCACCAATCCCACCATCTGCCGAAATCCCGTGTGCTCTAACCGCCGCCGTTTCATGCTCGATGTAGAGAAGAGCCTGTTTCTCGACTTTCAAAAGATCCGTATCCAGGAGACACAGGCGGAGCTTCCCCGCGGCTGCATTCCGCGTGCAGTTGAGATTATTTTGCGCTCAGAACTGGTGGAGACCGTCCAGGCTGGCGATCGCTACGATTTCACCGGCACTCTCATCGTGGTACCCGATGTCAGTGTGCTGGCAATGCCTGGAACCAGAGCCGAGTCCGGCTCCCGCCACAAGCCCGGCGAGGGCATGGAGGGAGTCACCGGATTGAAGGCCCTAGGTATGCGCGAGCTCAACTATCGCATGGCCTTCCTGGCCTGCAGCGTCCAGGCAACCACTGCGCGCTTCGGCGGCACAGATCTTCCCATGTCTGAGGTCACCGCCGAGGACATGAAGAAGCAGATGACGGACGCCGAGTGGCATAAGATCTACGAGATGTCCAAGGATCGCAACCTGTACCAGAACCTCATCACCTGCCTCTTCCCCTCCATTTACGGCAACGACGAAGTGAAGCGGGGAATTTTGCTGCAGCTGTTCGGGGGCGTAGCCAAGACCACAATAGAGAAGACCTCGCTCCGTGGCGACGTAAACGTCTGCATTGTCGGCGATCCCAGCACGGCCAAGTCGCAGTTCCTCAAGCAGGTGTCGGACTTCTCGCCACGCGCCATTTACACTTCGGGGAAGGCCTCATCGGCGGCAGGTCTCACGGCCGCGGTGGTGCGCGACGAAGAAAGCTTCGACTTTGTGATCGAGGCGGGCGCCCTGATGTTGGCCGACAACGGCATCTGTTGCATCGACGAATTTGACAAGATGGACCTGCGCGACCAGGTGGCCATACATGAGGCCATGGAGCAGCAGACGATCTCGATTGCCCGCGCCGGAGTCCGGGCCACACTGAATGCCCGCACATCGATCCTGGCCGCTGCCAATCCTATCAATGGCCGCTACGACCGTTCCAAGAGTCTACAGCAGAACATCCAGCTGTCGGCTCCGATCATGTCTCGCTTTGATTTGTTCTTCATTCTGGTCGACGAGTGTAACGAGGTGGTGGACTATGCCATTGCTCGGAAGATTGTGGACCTCCACTCGAACATAGAAGAATCGGTAGAGCGGGCATACAGCCGCGAGGAGGTACTGCGCTACGTGACCTTCGCTCGCCAGTTCAAGCCGATCATCGGCCAGGAGGCCGGCAAAATGCTGGTGGAGAACTACGGCCATCTGCGCCAGCGTGATACGGGCACCGCCGGCCGTAGCACCTGGCGTATCACCGTCCGCCAGCTGGAGTCTATGATCCGGCTGAGCGAGGCCATGGCCAAGCTGGAGTGCTCGAATCGTGTGCTGGAGCGACACGTCAAGGAGGCTTTCCGTTTGCTGAACAAGTCTATTATCCGCGTGGAGCAGCCCGACATCCACTTGGACGATGACGATGATCTGGACGTGGACGATGGCATTCAGGATGATATTGACATGGAGAACAACGGGTCTGCGGCCAACACTGAAACCGACACCTTAGACACTTCGGGCGCCAGCACTGTCCAGAAGAAGAAGTTTACCCTCTCTTTCGAGGACTATAAGAACCTATCCACCATGCTGGTGCTACACATGCGTGGCGAAGAAGCCCGCTGCGAGGTTGAGGGCAGCGACTCTGGCATGAAGCGTAGTGATGTAGTCACCTGGTACCTGGAACAGGTCGCCGACCAGATCGAGTCAGAGGACGAGCTCATCTCGCGTAAGAACCTCATCGAAAAGTTGATCGATCGCCTCATCTACCACGACCAGGTAATCATTCCCCTTAAGACATCCAACCTGTCCAGGCTCAAAGGGCCGGCAGAGGAGCAAGTGGACAATGATCCCCTTCTAGTGGTCCATCCCAACTACGTCGTCGATTAATTCTCTCCACAAACATCCATTATACTCCTATCTAGTTTTTAGGATTGTGTTTTCTCTTTCGTGTTTGAAAGTTTTTTTGGACCCATTCCTTATATATGGATTTATCTAGCTCTGTAAGTTATTCTGAAAAACACTGTTAAGTTTAGCTCTAAGTTTTCATGATGTCATCGATCATCACTGATCGTCCTGGGTCATACAGCGTGGTCTAATTAAAAACCAACTTTTGAATTTTTGTTTCTGCCTAATAAACGTTCACCGACAATTAATATTCGATCGCATCGCTTATTTCCATGGAAACATGCGTACTCGTACATTCGTACTCCGATAGGTTTTTCAGTTTAATTTTACAGATGCATGGATAAATTGTCTAAGAAGTAGAAAGGACTAAGCACCGCAAAGCCGGCGATCGGATGAGTAGATCTCCCAAACAGTTACTTCTCAAAGGTGTAGTGCTTGACACCATCACCAGGGTATTGCTTGGCTGCCACAGGACGATACATTTTCTTGTCCTCCAGCCAGTAGTAGAGGGCGAGGCAGCCGGACATGACACCCACAAAGCTCAAGACGTAGTACGAGGTGCTATAGCGCGGCTTCTCGGCCTGTGAGTAGCGGTCTTCGCTATACAAGTCATGATCCGCCGAGATCTGGAAAAGGAAAAAGGGAAATATATAGATTTTATCAATGTTTTCATGTTACTGTGACTACTCACGGGCTCGTGGAGGTTGCGCTTGTGCTCGGGATAATCCCAGGGATAGTAGCTATCCTTATTCTCCACACCTAGGCCGCCGCCAACCTTCGGATAGTCGCCATAGCCCAAACCATCGTCGGCATAGGGCTTGTACTCTTCGGGCAGAAGATAATACTTCTTAGCGGCTGCCTCGCGCTCCTTCTCTGTCTTTGGGAAGGGGGCTGGCTTGTAGTCCTTGTTCCATCCAGCCACTAATGCAATGAGAACGGATATAAGGTTGTAGTCTTTTACACCATTCAAACGTTACGTAAACAAAACAGAATGCCGAACCCACAGATGGTCATATTTATCGGCCCACGGAAAACTTACTGCTGCGAACCACCTGGCTGGCCAGAGCAGGATTGGCCACACACAATTTCCGTGCCAAGAACACAGACTTCACAAACGTCAACATTGCGAGCTCGTTTAAAAAATTTTAAGTTTTTCTCTTTCCTACAGCGATTGAAACAGCAGACTCAGCTGTGCTGGTGATGGGATTCGTGCGATAGGTCTCTGCGTGCTGTAGATGAGCCCTTGCTGATATGCTCGTATGATCTTGTGTGGAATTGTTATCTAATTGGTTGGAGTGCAGCAACAGAGAAACGATAAATAATAATTTCTTTTGTTTTGTTATAACATTTTGGTACAAATTAACAATAATGTTAACCCTGTTTTAGTGATCGAATTTGAATGTTTAGTTTGTGACATGCTTAATGTTTCTTGCATCGAAGTGCCCAGCTGAAAATTCAAAACTTAGACTGGAGTACTGGCTTGGACTATTTTTATACCCGGTCCTCAAAGCGTTCATGGGTATATTAAATTCGAGGAAAAGTATATAACACGCAGAAGGAAGCTTTTTTTACCCCATATAGTATATATATTCTTGATCACCGACTCAGCCCAGTCGATATTACCCTGTCTATCTGCCCGCCTTCTTTGTGTCCTAGTCTTCAGAAATTGTAGGAGCTAGATACACCGGATTTCATCCTGAAACAAGTATGTTTCACTGCTGCCAGTTGAGCATATTTCAGGCTAGATCTGGCATTTTAAAAATTGAAATAGCATATAAAATGTTCAAAAAAGCTTATAAGTTCTTGTGAACATGAACTTTGTTCCGATTCTGCATTCTGTTCATTTTTTGTCAATTTTCATAGACAATAGCCGATGACATGGAAATAATGTTATGGGAAACAAAATTATTTATGTTATTTTTTGGCTGTATTTAGACTTAGCTTATTTATTTTCGGTTTTAGCCACTTTTGGTATATTTTTTTTCGTATCTAGCTTATATTGACTCTGCAATTCTGGCAGCACTAGTACATTTTAAACTTTTAACTTGTCAACTTCTTATTTTTGAAGCCTTAGCGTTTTAAAGATATATAGACATAATTTTTTATCTGGCCTCACTGCCATAACTTCAATTGTAGTAGGAATACGACCACAAAAGCGTAGAGAAGACATTCCTCATACAAAATGTAAACAAATGTACCCAAAGGAAATTTGATGGCGAAAAGTTCGCTTGCCTTTTCACACACCACAGTTCAAACGTATATACTTTTCCATAAATAAATTAAAAGCTTATTAGATTTAAAGAGTTATCATATCGATAGTCGCCAACACTATCGGCATATAACACCCGCGCACTGTTTTTTTGTTGTGGTTGGCTCATCCGAAGAAGCAGCAGCAACACCTGGGGAGGCGAAAGTGATAAAGAAGCGGCCATATTTAAAAAAATATTAAACATTAACTATATTCGAAAAGATGGTTCTACCTTTACTACAGCGCTCCACACTTCGCGGCGTGCAACAGTTAGCCCAGCCATGGTCCGCAGCTGGCTTCAGCCTGAGAATGGTAAGGATCCGATGTGTTGACCCATTAGCATGTCATGCTGCATACCCGCTTATGTAATTTTGCTGGCCAAAAAGATGTCCATTAACCATAGTCAGCGTTGGTAGAGAGTAATCCGAAATTGTGGGTGGAAATCTGCCATCACAAAAAAAAAAACTTAACAGCGTTTCGTAATCACCTCTGATAAAATTGAAGTTGCTCCCTCCAGAGCCTGGAATAATCGCACAAATGTAGAAGTTTGACGAAAACAATTTCCCAACTGGAAACGTTCTGCCACTTGTGGATTGCATATACTTTCAATCCTATAGAAGTGCAACAGTAGTGCTTATACTCCCATTTCAGTGCAGTCGGTCTAGGTCCCAATTTGAATAAATGCTGACAACCTTATGTAGTCAGTTCTGTTCTCTTGGACTCCGATTGGCATATTGATTTTACCGACTAACAACTTTTTCGATCTATGGCTCTTTCCACTGTTTCGCACGTGAAAATCAAAAAAAGATACAAGAACTAGTGAAACGAGTTATAGCCGAGAGAACAATTTTTCGCTGACAATTCTAGTTTCGGAAATTCAATACAATGCAAACCGGTTAATTTTATATTTGAAAGTAATCTAGTGGCGACACATGATATACCCTCGCTGTTCCATGTGTTCCACACGCGATAATCCTGATACCTGTAATTGATAATGGAGCACTTAAGCATAGTGCACACACGCACACACCCATACCCAAGCAAATATGTATAAGTAGATGCATGTGTGAATTTTATGAGCAAAAGTAAAGACTCAGCTGATTAGCAAAGCGCCCCATGCCGGGCAGAGTCCCCAATCGCCACCACCACCCGTCGAGCACCTCCCTTCTATTCCGTGCCTGCGCACTGGTTGAGCGCGCGCTCTGTCTGAAATTTCGCGCTGCGACAAAGTTTTATGGTCCCACCTTATCTCCTCTCAGCCAGTAGGAACAACATATCAGCACCAGCAGCATCAGCAATCACAGCGGTTTATAATCCAGTGCTCACCATTTGAGTTAAGCAACTTATCTCCTTCATAATGGTCAGATCAGCCTGCCTTTCCTCAGAATTCATCCACTGTTACTGACGTCAGAGTACACTTGTATTCTTTCCACTCCTTCCAGGCCTCCCAGGAGTTCCGCGTGGAAAGCGATACGTTTGGAGAGCTAAAGGTGCCGGCGGACAGGTACTATGGCGCCCAAACGATGCGCTCTCAGATCAACTTCCCCATAGGCGGGACCACAGAGCGTATGCCGGTAGGTCTTAAACCTTCTCTCAGCCTTCTCTTTCATTGTTCCACTATAATTCTCTATACCACTTCACAGAAACCTGTGGTGCAGGCAATGGGCATCCTAAAGAAGGCCGCAGCCGAAGTGAACAAGGAATTCGGCCTGGACACCAAGGTGAGCGAGGCCATCTCCAAGGCCGCCGATGATGTGATTTCGGGCAAGCTCTACGACGACCACTTTCCCCTAGTGATCTGGCAGACAGGCTCCGGCACCCAGAGTAACATGAATGTCAACGAGGTGAGTCTCAAGGCCGATCTTTTTCCATTTGAAATGCCTATAGACTAGTGGTCTACACCAATACAATAACATTGTTCCGTTTGCTGGTGTGGTTACACAACAGACAAAACGGATCAACAGACAATGGAAAAATGTTATTTTAGTGGTCCCGATGACTGTCTTACACTGTAAGTCACGAAGTGACGGCCGTGGCCGTGCCCGTACTGCTTACCACTGCTATAGACCATGGATGATTTTTCTCCCGCAGGTGATCAGCAATCGCGCCATTGAGCTGCTGGGTGGCAAGCTGGGATCCAAGACTCCAGTGCATCCAAACGACCATGTGAACAAGTCGCAGAGCTCCAATGATACCTTTCCCACGGCTATCCACATCTCTGTGGCCTTGGAGCTGAACAACAACCTGAAGCCAGCCATCAAGACACTGCACGACGCGTTGGCCGCCAAGTCGAAAGAGTTCAAGGACATCATCAAGATCGGTCGCACCCACACCATGGACGCTGTCCCACTGACGCTCGGCCAGGAATTCAGCGGTTATGCCCAGCAGCTGGCCTACGCCCAAGAGCGCATCGATGCCTGCCTGCCGCGCGTCTATGAGTTGGCGCTCGGCGGCACAGCCGTCGGCACTGGCCTTAACACCCGCAAGGGATTCGCCGAGAAGTGCGCCGCCAAGATCGCCCAGCTGACCAGCCTGCCCTTCGTGACGGCGCCCAACAAATTCGAGGCTCTGGCCGCCCGCGACGCCATGGTGGAGGTGCATGGGGTACTTAACACGATTGCCGTGAGCCTCATGAAGATTGCCAACGACATCCGATTCCTGGGCTCCGGTCCGCGCTGTGGCCTGGGGGAGCTCTCCCTGCCCGAAAACGAGCCCGGCAGTTCCATTATGCCTGGAAAGGTGAATCCCACGCAGTGCGAGTCCCTCACAATGTTGTCTGCCCAAGTCATGGGCAACCATGTGGCCGTAACAATCGGTGGTGCCAACGGACACTTCGAGCTGAATGTGTTCAAGCCCCTAATAGTGTCAAATGTGCTACGCTCTATTCGCCTGCTTTGTAAGTAGAAGGAGATCTTTTTCCAATATTCTGCTAATGCGAGTACGATGTCCATCCATTTCAGCTGACGGCAGTCGCACCTTCACCGCCAATTGCGTGAACGGCATCCAGGCCAATCGCGACAACATTGCCAAGATCATGAACGAGTCCCTGATGTTGGTGACGGCCCTCAACCCGCACATCGGTTACGACAAGGCGGCCAAGATCGCTAAGACGGCGCACAAGAATGGAACAACCCTCAAGGAGGAGTCTATAAACTTGGGCTACCTCACCGAGCAGCAGTTCAACGACTGGGTAAAGCCCGAAGAAATGCTCGGACCCAAGTAGGCGCTGCTTGCAAGTGTCTAAAATTCGGGAATGCTTATCCGCTTGGCCAGTCGGAATATATCGGTTGTCGAGTTCACATTGAAATTTCTTGAAAAAAAATTGAGATTGTAAAAACCTAAAATGTCGCTTCTTTCCCGCATTCTGGTGGCCAGCAAGTCCTACTCCCGCGGCCTCAGGGTAACCGCGAGCATCTGTGGCAAGGACGTAGGTTCAAAAAAGAATTAATTGCGATTTGGTTAAGACTTGTTGGGATTTCAGGCAAAAAAGGGCAATTCCAAGGAGGGAAAGTTCCGGATGGAGAAGGACACCTTTGGGGAGCTAAAGGTGCCTGCCGAAATGTTGTTCGGCGCACAGACGATGCGCTCCAAGATCAACTTTCCCATTGGCGACATTGGCGAGCGCATGCCGGTAGCTATGACCACCCCAAACGAAGCCCTCCAGACCTCTACACCTAACCTTTCGTCTCTCGCCTTGGGCCGATCCACAGATGCCAGTGATTCAGGCCATGGGTATACTTAAGAAGGCCTGTGCTGAGGTAAACAAGGATTACGGCCTGGACGGCAAAATATCGGACGCCGTCTCCTGTGCTTGTGACGACGTCATCTCGGGAAAGTTCTACAAGCGAGGTCACTTCCCGCTGGTCATTTGGCAGACCGGCTCCGGCACCCAGACCAACATGAATACAAACGAGGTGACCACATATCATCTGTAGGCAGCGCCCTGATCAGCCATAACTTGCGCTCCTTGCCCCCGTAGGTCATCAGTAACGCAGCCATTAAGGCGATGGGCGGCGAGCTGGGTTCTAAGAAGCCAGTACATCCTAATGACCATGTAAACAAGTCGCAGAGCTCCAACGACACCTTTCCGGCTGCCATCCACATCAGCGTGGGGATGGAACTGAACGAGCGCCTCATACCATCGTTGACTCATTTGCGGGATGCTCTTAAGTGCAAGTCTGAGGACTTCAAGGACATCATCAAAATTGGGCGTACCCATCTGATGGACGCTGTGCCTCTGACCCTGGGTCAGGAGTTCAGCGGCTACGCCCAGCAGCTAAGCTATGGCTTGGACAGAATCAACGGCTGTCTGCCGCGCGTCTACGAGCTGGCCCTTGGCGGCACAGCTGTTGGCACTGGTCTCAATACACACAAGGGATTCGCCGAGAAGGTATCCAAGCGCATTGCCGACCTCACATGCCTTCCCTTCGTGAAGGCTCCGAACTTCTTCGAGGCTCTCGGCGCTCGAGATGCCATGGTAGAGGTGCACGGAGTACTTAACACGATTGCTGTCAGCTTGATGAAGATAGCCAATGATATCCGCCTGCTGGGCTCGGGTCCGCGCTGCGGTCTGGGCGAACTCATGCTGCCGGAGAATGAGCCGGGCAGCTCGATTATGCCTGGCAAGGTTAATCCCACTCAGTGCGAGTCCATTACCATGATCTGTGCCCAGGTTATGGGTAACCAGGTGGCTGTCTCCATCGGTGGTGCCACCGGACACTTTGAGCTGAATGTCTTCAAGCCGCTGATCGTGTCCAATGTTCTACGCTCCATACGTTTGCTGGGTAAGTGAGGATTAGTGAGTACTAAGGAGGCCTCCAACTCATATGTACTCCGCTTTTGTTTGTAGCCGATGGAAGTAAGAATTTCAGCAAGAACTGCGTGGAGGGCATCAAACCGAACAATGAGCGCATTGCGAAGATCATGAACGAGTCCCTGATGTTAGTGACGGCTCTCAATCCACACATTGGCTATGACAAAGCGGCTGCAATTGCCAAGACTGCACACAAGAACGGAACCACCCTGAAGGAGGAGGCCATTAAGGCTGGCGTCACCGAGGAGCAGTTCAAGGAGTGGGTCGATCCGAAGAAGATGCTGGGCCCCAAATAGTTTTCATTTATTCACATTAAACTTATCCGTTAGCTCCAATAAAACTCAATTGCAATCGATACTTGCCTTGTATCATCACTAAATCATTCATGGTCGATAGATAATGCAGCCCTGGTACTGCCAGCGACAGCTGTTTTTGTAAGTTTTTCTTTGTTTTTCCTGCTTGGAGGAGATCCCAAATCCGAAAGAATCTGGAAAAAAAAATAAAACCCAGTCTCTTCTGCATTGGCAGCAGCGTTTGTCCACCCTGTGCACCGATTCAATGACCGTGCTAGAACCGACTTTAGTGCTGGACTCGATTATCTAACGACAATATCGATGTATTAGGAATTTGGCTTTGACTTATTTGCTTTCGACCAGATTCACAGTGATTCGTGTACAAGTAGGCACAACAACAAATTTTTCAGGCAGGCAAGGGGATTCGGAAATTAACAGTCCAACTAAAAAGCAAATTCTATCTAGCACCACACCATAATTAAATTTCAAAAACCTGTTTCACCCCCAAGTTGATTACCTTTCCCAACCATTTTTCGTTATTGCAATTGGTTTATTTTACGACGCAAAAACAAAAAACACAACCACAATCACTCCAGACTGCAAAAACTGTTTGCAGACGAGCGATATCGATCACACACAACCTTTATATGGGCAGCAGTGCCACTACTACCGGACCCTAAATAAAATAAAACGAAAGGAAGGCAGTGTGGTGCTAGGAGGCAAACAGAAACACCGACGCCCACACCCCCGAAGGCGTAAAATAAAAGGTGAGCCCATACCAGTGGATATCAAATTTTCAACCGATCTCATACATTGCTGTTCGCAGTCAGTAATACGGCCGTAGGGAAAAATGTCTGTGAGACTGTTGACCGTGCGACTGATCAAACATGGTCGCTACATTCTGCGCAGCTACTGTCATCGTGAGATACACGCCAACATTTTGGAACCAAACCCCTTGAAAACACGCAGTAAGCGAGGCTTTCCCCTACCATCCTCCTCCGCCAATGTAGCCCGGGTAAGCCGAAGAGTACGGAGCGAACTTTCAAGCATAATGGCAACCCAATATATCCATTGCAGAATACACCGCAGCAGGTGGTCAGGTCAGCACCACCGCCGGCCAGTGTCTTGCCTCGCAATGGCGTCCCTCCCGCTGGGAGTGGACTGTTTCGCTTCGGGCAGCATGCACGCAAGCTTTTCATCGACAACATTTTGAGTCGCGTGACCACAAACTACTCTGAGGAGCTGCGCAAGCGAGCCACTCGTAAACTATTCTATGGAGACTCAGCTCCGTTCTTTGCTCTAATTGGAGTGAGCCTCGCCACCGGATCAGGGGTCCTCAGCAAGGAGGATGAGCTCGAGGGCGTTTGTTGGGAGATACGCGAGGCTGCAAGCCGCCTGCAGACTGCATGGAACAAGGACGATATTTCCGAGACCCTCAACAGCAACTTCACTATCGACGACCTCGAAGTAGGAGCGCCCATAGCCAAAGGTTGTGCGGCAGTTGTCTACGCGGCTAACTTCAAGAAAGGCCAAAATATACCGGTCTCAGATCTTGGCAATCCGGAAGTGCCCCAAATTACATCAGTGCATTCTGCAGCAAGTGCGACGACTACCTGGCGCCATGAGATGATGTCGCCACTACAAAATATGTCCCGGTTTGTGCATAACTTTGGCGGCTCTGTGGACAGCATCTTAACCTATAGCCAACCCTCGGCGGCGACCGATTTTGTGGGTGCTCTGAAGCGAGAACAGGAGCGCTTGTCCATCCCAGAGGATCACTCTCAGCCAGCAGGCTTGTCCCCTGGCTACAATATGGTAAATCCCGAAAATATCTCGAATCTGACCTGCATTGAATCCTTTTAATCTTTTTCCACAACAGAGCCCACTGCTGGATACCAAACTGGAAAGCTCCATCAACACCTATCCGCTGGCTCTCAAGATGATGTTCAACTACGACATCCAGAGCAACGCCCTGTCCATACTCCGCGCTATGTATAAGGAGACGGTACCGGCCCGCCAACGGCGCATGAACACGGCAGCTGAGGAGTGGGAGCGCCTGCTGCAGAGCCAGACACTTGTGCTGCCTCCGCACCCGAATATCGTGTGCATGTTCGGCTTCTTCTGCGACGAGGTGCGCAACTTTCCCGACGGTCATCTGCTTTACCCGATCGCCCAGCCACAACGGATTAATCCACAGGGCTATGGCCGGAACATGTCCCTGTATTTGCTCATGAAGCGCTACGACCATAGCCTACGCGGCCTGCTCGATAACCAGGATTTGAGCACACGCACTCGCATCCTGCTGCTGGCGCAAATGCTGGAGGCTGTCACCCACCTCAACCGCCACGGGGTCGCCCATCGCGATCTAAAGTCTGACAATGTGCTTATCGAGCTTCAAGATGACGAGTCGCCCGTGCTGGTTCTATCCGACTTTGGCTGCTGCTTGGCGGATAAGGTCCATGGCCTGAGGCTGCCCTATGTTTCTCACGACGTCGACAAGGGCGGAAATGCTGCATTGATGGCGCCAGAGATTTTTAACATGATGCCGGGTCCGTTTGCGGTGCTAAACTATGGCAAAGCCGATCTGTGGGCCTGCGGTGCCCTGGCCTACGAGATATTCGGTATGCGTAATCCTTTTTACTCAAGCAGCGGCGGCCTCGCACACGAGCGCGGGGAGCTCACGTACTCGCTGCGGAACAGCGACTACAAGCAGGAGCAGCTGCCGCCTATGTGCGATGCGTGCCCGCCGTTGCTCCAACATCTGGTCTACAACATCCTCAATCCCAACCCGTCGAAACGGGTCAGTCCGGACATTGCAGCGAACGTGGTCCAGCTCTTCCTTTGGGCGCCCTCGAACTGGCTCAAGGCCGGGGGCATGCCCAACAGTTCCGAGGTGAGTTTGTCTCGGTCTCTTGCTCAATCACTCAACCGGAAGTGATTATCGGTCTTTCTTCACTCTTGCAGATTCTACAATGGCTGCTCTCGCTCACCACGAAGATAATGTGTGAGGGACGCCCCTGCCTGGGCGCTGGAAGCATTAAGATGACCGGCGGCACCATTGGAGCCAGCACGAACGGACGGAGAGCCTACGTGGAGTATTTGCTGATCTGCAGCTTCCTGGCGCGCGCGCGCCTGCGTCGCATACGCGGAGCACTTAACTGGATCCAGAACGTGGTGGCCCCGTAGATGCCCCGCCCCGTACACAGATGTTTCGTTTACTTGTTACTCTGATAAAATCAAATGGAAAAGCGTGTGATACCTATATTTTACATATGTATTTATAAACAATTCGAAATTAACCGCACTACCACAAACTTTTCTACTGGTCGTCCATCCCCAAGGTGGTGATCAGGCCCATCAGGTCCTGGCTTTGGTTGAGAAACATTTTTATCTCGGTAAAGTTCTTTCGACGAGGACTCATGTCAATTAGGTTGATATGACCGCCATTGCACTGAACTGTCACAGATCGATTGCCGCCAAAATCGAACATATAGAGAGTCTTGCAGTCCGCGTCTCGTATGGGCATTAAGGTGCAGCCAAGGTTATGGAGGTTCTTCACTATGCAGGCGAAGGCGTCCTCCACATTTCTTTCCTTACCTGAGAAGCAGACAGTGGATATTGTATGGGGTTGATATGATAATGTTGTTCCTGGAACCTACCCAATGAATCTATGCGCATTTGGAGCGCTTGTTCTTCCAGCTGTGCTTCCTGATGATCTTTGCTCAGCTTCAAGTTGCGCGCGTTGAGGGCTGTGGCTGACTGTGGCCAGGACTTGGCTTGCTCAATGCTCTCGATGGTATCATCTACAAATTTTATAATATGCTGGTGGGCCCCTTGGATGCTGTTTAGCTCCTGCTTCAGAGATTTTGTGTTGATATCTTTCATTTTGAATTATCAGTGTTGGGTCGTTCATGAACGAACGATGAAAAAGGAACTATTCACTGGAGTGAACGGCATGAATAACTTCACCTTATCGATATTTTTTGCTCATGAATGAATATGATATTCCTCGATACTTATATACGGTATAGAATTAATAGCTTGCTAGCACCCTCAGCACTGAAAAAACAATTGTATCCGATACATTTTTGTATTCAGTTTTATTCAATACAAGTAAATTTTTAGGTACTCACTTGTATTATATTAGTTTTAACATGTGTTTAAACAAAAAAGGAATAAATGGGATGAGATTGTCACGGAGGCACAATCAGTTCCTATCGATAAAAAAGCGATATTATCGAAATGTGAACACAATTAAAATTTATTTGTTTAATCCGTCTGGGAACAGCCAAGATCAAAGCTGCTCACGCACATTTTGTGATCATAGAAGGAGCAGGTGGCCATGTGCATTAGTCCATCGCCCTCGGATAGACTCGGATTCCAGTCTGCGCCATAACATATGCTCGAATGTTCGTCGTATGTGCCCAGCATCGTTACTGCCGAATTCTCCAGGTCGAGTTGAACGACACTAAAGTTATTGTACATGCAGGCGGCCAGGATGATCTCCGCTCGATTGGGGTGCGGCTTGAGGCGCCAGATTCCACCCCCCAGATTCACTTCGGCCAGCGAGCGCTTCATCATGCGCGTGTCAAAGACACGCAGCTGTTCATCATAGCTGCCCGTGAGTAGTTGGTAATCATGCTTCGGATGGCTGAGCAGGCAGGTAACGCCTGCCTGGTGCGCCCTGTTCGTCCACACAAGCTGCTCCGTGCGCAAATCACGGGCCTGGAGGAGGCAATCGTCGCCACCACTGTACACGCGATGCGGTGTCCAGCGATCAAAAACACAAGTCCAGGCCTCAAAGCTGTGTGCATTCCATGCGCTGAGGACGAACAGTTTTCCCTGCGGGGTGTAGCGCAAAAGGTTGATGTTTCCTTTCGAGTCCGAGACTACCAGCTGCAATTCATCTCCATCGCGTTGCCAGTCCAAGGCCAGGGCCAGTGGAGCCTCAGCAGTTGGCTCCGCAGCCGTCAGACCTAAGCACATCCGTCTTTGCAGTTGCTTTTCATCCGACAGCAGCTCGTAGATTTCTACCTCTCCCAAGGCGTTGGCTGTGGCCAGAAGTGGGCCACTGTCGATGCTCCATGCTGGTAACCACTTCATATCCAGAACTGCCGCCGTGTCAATACTCTGCACCCGCTCTAGTGCTCCGCTCCCTGTATCAAAATGGTAGAGGTAAACGCGTCCCTTGCGGGGCCGGTTCTTGGTGGTGACTTCGTTCTCTTCCGCTTCAACCAGCTGGTAGGTTCCGCAAGCAAAGTAGGCATGGTGACCATCCTGAGCACACCACTCTACGGAATCTGCCGGGTAGTTTGTATCCACGCTGTGCAATGTTCTGAACCTAGCCATTTTAGGGCTGGCAAGACTTTGAATCGATTGCGATTTTCTTACGGCTATCGATAGACCCCATACACCCAGCATTTCAAAAATATGCATTTCTTATTATATTTATTTGTATTTGTTGCTAATTTAAAAAAATTAATAACACAGTCACACAAAAAAAAGTGTGGTGCGCGGCTGACCAGAGTACCATACCCCCACGTATTTTGGTGCGCTGAACACGAATCCAAGGTCAGAATTTCCCCATAGCGCCAGGCTATTTTTTCCAACCTTAAAAAAAAAATGTCATCGAAACATGATGGAAATTTTTTGATCAGATTTGATTGAAACACGTTTTTCGGCGGTTTTTTTTTTTTTGGGTCGATAAATATGAATTTAAAGTCGGACAAAAATTTAAAGTGGTGGATCCAACATGGCCGGGTTCACTTCAAACGAATAGCTCTCCGACTTTGCGACATTTACATCTACATTTTCGTCCTCTATATAGATCTTTTGAAGAGAAAAGCACTCTCGAAACAAGAAAACTGACATCAAATTCGAAATCAGCGACCCCAAATAACCACCGAGTAACGAGTTTCAAGCGAATATAATAAATTTTTCAACTAATTTGCCACCATATTTTGACCATATTGGTTGGAGGTAAGAACAAAAAGAACCTGGTGTGATGGAGCAAATCTGACCTTGGATTCGTGTTTAGCGCATCAAAATACGTGGGGGTATGGTACTCTAGTCAGCCGCGCACGACACTTTTTTGTGGGTCTGTGTAATTAATACATAAATCTACTTAGTGATCTGGTTACGCACTACATACTCTGGATTAGGATTAGTTGATCTCACTTCACATTTAGTTGTGCTGTGTTATCGGACAGCACCGTTTCTCTCTCGATAGTCGTGACGGTAGGGCGCGCTGCTCCTCCATGCTTACATTTCTTGAGGGGATTCCTCTCCATATCGGCTCTGCTTTCGGGGGCGTCACAATTTCCTTTTGCTTGAGAGATGATGGTGGGTAAATGGTAATTGTGGGGTATGCTTAAACCAAAACCAAGCATCCTTTGGTAAACATATCCTTTCTAACCTAAAAGTAGACACAGCTGCCGCTCGTCTTCGCAGTCCCTCCCACTTTTTACACGGACAAACACAAAATTCCACAACGCAGAAAAAAAACACTCTTATTCCTAGCTATAGACACTTTTTCGCACGGATTTCTCCGTCCTGGGGATCCCTATGGACCTAGCGATCAACTGGTTGCGCAAAACTTAACTTGGATCGCCAGGCACACCGCAGGTCTAATCGATCGCTTTTCTAGCGACTCATGGCGCACCTATTGCGCCTCCTCGACTCTCATTTGGTTTTCATCACGATGATCGGCTCGAGTATCTTCAGCATGTCGTTGTTTTCGGGTGCCCCGGTGCCATTGCCACCACCGCCCCCAGCATTGGATCCCCCACCAGACGCAGAACCTCCTACAGTGACTCCTGTACCTCCGCTGGCAGCGGCATACTCCTTGACAGTCTGCAGCTTGCTGTAGCCTTGCTGGTGCTGTCCGAGTGTCACCAGGCGGTGCTGCTGGTTAAGCACGATGGCCTCATGATGGGGGTGCTGCTGGAGGTTGCCGGCAATCTGGTGGATCTCGTGCTGCTGCAGCTGAAGCGACGCAAGCTCGTCGTTGGAGCCATCGCCGTCCAGCTGCGAGTCTGACTTGACCACGGTCACGAAACTGTCGCCGGAACCAACGCCTACGCCGTCATCCGTCTCGTAAAGCTGTTCCGAGGTCTCCTCCTCCGTCTTGGCCCGGAACTCGGCGCTGGCGGAGCTGCTGCGCGGCGTGTGGCTGCGCATTCGTCGCATTCTAGCGTACTCGGCCTGCTTGGAGAGCCGCTCCTTACGCTCATCGTTGTTTTCTGTGGCCCGAATTTGCGCTCGCTTCAACCGTGCCCGCTCGCTCAATTTCTGTAGCCGCACGGCTCGCTGTTCAGGCGTCTCGTTTGCCCGAACCGCCCGCTGATGGGCTGCCATCTTGTCCAGCCGTAGGCGCTTTTCATCCTCTGTCTCGTACTTGTTGGGTCCGCTGCGTCGTGGCGTGCCAGGCGACCTGTTGTCTCCATCCGCCGTGGAATGTACATGTATATGGCCCTGTGATCCTCCAAGATCCTGCTGCTGAGTCGGCTGGGAGAGGGGCCGGCCCCGTCTTGGAGTGGTGCTCAGCTGGGGGACAGCGAGCATCTGGTTTAACTCGTGCTCCAGCAGGGTGTTTACCTTTAGCTGCTCCTCGCCGCCCGAGTGGCTCACCATTACGTTCTTCCTCGGCCTCCCACGACCAACCGTCGCCACGATCTGCTCCTGCGGCTGCTGGGGTTGCTGCTGCTGATGGCCCAGGCTTGTGACGGTCAGCGTGGGATTGGTGGAGGTCGCCGTGAGTATGTTGTACTGGCCCGTCGAAGTGGGACTGCTCCCGCCGCTGGCACTGGCAAAGTGGACCGGTGTGAAGGGCGGCGGCACTGCGCTCGGCCCGATTCCCAGCTGGAAGCCATTGTGGTACATGGGGTAGTAGGCGGTAGTGGTGGTGGTCCCACCGGTTCCCCCCGTTGACACCGACCCCACCCCGGCCGCACTAACGTTCGACGTCGTCACGGTGGTGCTTGCAGTGTTGGTGTTGCTGGGAAAGGTGGCCAGGTAGGGGAACTGGTTGTAGAGGGGCGTTGCTTGTCCCGCCGACTTGAGGACCTTCTGCTGCTGGTCGCCCCCGCCGGTGGTCATGATTACCTTGGCCTCGTTCTGTCCCAGACTAACAGACCTGCTGTTGTCGCTGGTCCCGCTCGTTCCTGCGGAGGACACCGTTACCGTTCCAGCTGTTGCATTGTTGCCGTTGGCCGACTGCGAATTGTTGTGAGATTGTCGGTGCGAGTGAGGTGGTACAATAGACGTAGAGGGGGAAAGAGATAGAAAGTGAGGTTAGATCAGCTGCCTTCATGACTGGTTGGTAAACGAGAATGAATGAATGAGAAAGAGAGATGGTAATGATATTGACGACGATGAAGCAGTGCACACACACACACACACACGCCAGCGCAAAGCTAACAACGGTAGAGATCAACCGTTAGAAAAGCAATAAAAGGACATTTCGCCAGAATTTCTTCTTTCCTTCGTGAAATTTAAAATCGAATTAAAAGACACTTTTTTTAGATTTGGTTCTTGTTGGTAAAACGTTTCTTGATTTTTTCCATTTTCATTACATCTCTTCTACATTATCTACACTCTAAATTGTTAATTAATTAATTTTAGACTGATCTTACAACCACTCTCCCACCGGTCAGAGTTTATGTTTTTGTGCATGTGTGTGTTCGCGTGTGTTAGGGGAAACCGAACAAAAATTATTAGAAAAAGTAACGGACAACAATTTAAAAACATTAACAAAACGGATAAAAGTGTCAAGTTGGCGTGGTTCGAAATGGGCGTTGGGTCATTGGCCCATTCCTCTTAAGGAACAAAAACAAAGCAGCTCTGACTCCTGAGGCAGCTCTGCTTGTCCGAGTTTCTGTCTTTCTCGGTCTGTTTGTCGTGTATTGTGTCTGTGTCCATACTGAGACGAAGCTTTCGAGCTCGAGCTCGAACTCGAACTCTAACTCAAATTCAATTTCGATCTTTGACAGTTGCTTGTGGAGTGCGTTGCAGTGTGTGTGTGTGTGAAGAGTTATCGATGACGGTATCGATCTACCCGATCTCTGCTATGGCTGCTGCATACGCACCTGAAGTTCCTGCTTCTTGGCGTACTTGTGCGGATATAGTTCCAGCGGTCCGGAAGCAATGCTGAAGTGCGGTACGTGCGCCTGCAGCAGCTTAGGTCCCTTGCCCGGGTCCTCGCCGTAAATCTGCTGAACGAATATGCTTCCCTGATCGCCGCCACTCTCTAAGAGAGTGGCCGTCACCTGCTGCTGCTGCTGGCCGGCGATAGCGTACCGCTGCTGCACCTGCTGCTGCTGTTGCAGCTGTTGCTGCTGCGCCTGCTGTTGGAGCTGCTGCTGTTGTTGTTGGGGGGTCTGAGGCTCCTGCTTGAGTTGCATGGGTGGACGAGTGAGGCCATGGGCGATGAACATGCCCTGACCGTTAAACGCCTCATAGGTGATGGCCGAGATCGAGTGCTGCATCTGCTGCAGATCCTCGCCGACAGCCTGGGGCGTGCTGGCGCTGCTTCCGGGTCCTGCTCCAGTTCCGGGTGCGGGCGTGCTCGATGCCTGAGGGGCGGATACCGTCGTAACGTTTGCCTGGTTTAAATTAATATTATGTTCATTATTACAATTAGCTGCCGCCGCTGCGGCGGCTGCTGCTGCTGCAACAGCCAACACCTGCTGTTGCTGCTGTTGTTGTTGCTGCTGCTGCTGGGCGGTCGTCGTTGCCGTTGACGATGAGGAGGACGTCGTCGTAACCACCACCGACGACACTGCACCGTGCACATGCTTCAATATCTTTTTCTTTTCTCTGACCTTTTTGGCGTAGTCGTTCAGCTTTCTCAGTCTTTCCTTGCGCTCCTCCGGTGACTCGTTGGCGATCCGCTGGCGCGCCCGGGCCGCCATCTCGGCCAGCCGCTGTTTTCGCTGATCGGACGACTCGCTGGCTCGGTAATTGCGCATCCGCTCGGCCAGCTTGCACAGCCGCTTTGACCGCTGGTCGGGCGACTCCATGGCCCGACGCAGACGCTGTCGCGCCGCATTTCTTACCAACCGCATCGCACGCTCGATCTCCGACTCGTTCTGACGTCTCTGCCGGTTCGCCTCCGCATTGCGCAGCAGCCGCTTCCGGTACTCGTCTTCGCTCTCTCGCTGTCGTCGCTCGCGCATCCTCTCAGCATTTCTGGCCAGGCGGCGCTGGCGGGCCTCGGGGCTCTCGTTCCAGCGCTGTTGATGCGTCGATGTCCCGGTGACTGAGGCGGAGCTGGCACTCACGCTCGACGTGGGCCCTAACGGAGTAGGCGGCGGCTGTTGTTTCAATGAAAGGGGCTGCTGGTGTGTGTAGGCGGCGGGTAAACTGAGTTGCAGCTGCTGATGCTGGAACTGCAGCTGATCCTGCTGCTGCTGGAGATGATGCTGCTGCTGTTGTTGGAACTGCTGCTGCTGCTGATGATGCTGCTGCTGTTGTTGCTGAACGTGCTGCTGTTGCTGCTGCTGCTGCTGGAGCTGTTGCTGGTGATGGGTGGAGAGGGGTACCAACAGCGCTGAGGGATGCTCGATGAGTAGGCGTGCATTGGGTCCATTGATAGCCAGCACATGGGTGGCGTACTGATGCTGCTGCTGGGGATGCTGCTGCTGCTGCTGCTGTTGGTGATGGTCAAGTGTGGGCTCTATTTTTATCCCATTGGGATCTGGTTCCATTATTGGTCAAAGCCGGAACAACAATCGAAATTGTCGTCTCCCTGGTCAACAGTGCTTTTGATGGTGCGGCTCCTGGCAGATGTAACTGGACTTGGATTTGGATTTCGGTTTGATCTTCTCGCGACTGCTCCTAAGATGCCTCATCTAACGGCCGTAACTTGGTGAGTCGCTTTTTCTCTCTCACTCTCTCTCTCTGTCTCACTTTATCTATCTATATCTTTTGTGCTCTACTTCTTTCTCTGTTTGTTTTGTTTGCCGTTTCCGATTTTTGTCGTTATATAAAGAAATATGTGTGCGTCCACGCTCTCTTTTGGTTTCCTACGCTTCGCTCTGCCAGCCAGTTGTTGATTTCTCTTTCCGCTTCTTCCACCTCTTTTGCGCATTTGCCTCGTCCGCCTGTCAATCAATTCGCAATACCCTTCGAAACGATGATCGTCCTCCTCCTCATTCTTTACTTCCAATAAGATCTATCGTTGCAGCACATGCAAATATGACCAGAATAGAAAATATATCATTCATAGGGGAATAAAGCTTTGTAGGCAGACGGGTTTTCGTCTGCGCTAACTTGATTGCGCACCTTTTGCACCCAGCGGTCGACTTCCGATTTTCCGTAATTTCACTGTGAATGTTTGCTAGGCGCGCGCGCCTTTTTGTGCGATAATTGGTATATTTTGGATCTTGTTGGTTTTTCTTTCCGCTTCTTTCTTTTTTAGTACTAGTTAGTGCATGCCGCGGATGCTTCTTCTTGTTCGATTGGCGCCGCCGCTGACTGCCAGTGGCTTCCAATCCAAGTGGTGGGGCTTCCAGTACTTCCAATCGATTTTTCACATGATTATGTGTATATGTACAGCCGCACACACACACACATACACTCCCCCATGCGCATATACACTATCAACTGGCGTGTGCACTGGTGTGTGTGTTTTTTTTTCTGTCTATTTTGCATGTGTTTCAAATACTAAAATGTATTCTGCGAGTTTCCACTGATTTTAGTATTACTTTAGTAAAAGAACAACTCAAGCGTTCTCTTGTTCACTCATAGATGATTGGTTCTGACTGACGATTGGGCCTGTCGGCATTTCATCTATAAAATTGCACATCTGCTGGGGCTCTCGGACGCCCAGAACTCTTCATTACTAGCTTTATGCAGGGGCCGTCTCTTTTTCACATTTTGCGTTGCACACGGCTTACGATTATTGAAACATTTTTGGTATACTTTTGGATCGTTTAACAACAACGGAGTGAAAAACGCGCAAAATTTCCGGCTAGAACGCGCAGTCAAATACAGCGCTGCGTCAACACAACACATATCAAAAGATGACCACAATTGGATGGGAGTGTGTGTGCTCGTGTCAGTGAGTATGAGTGTCGCGATACGACGATCTGGCAGCTCCATTCCAGCCAAACGAAACAAAACGCAACGCAGATATCGAATAATGCCTATCGATAGATTGGCGCGCTAAGATTCACTAAGCTTGTCGCACACCACTGTGTCGCAATCTTACGATTCTGTTGCTTATTTAATTTTCTATTTCATTATAAAAGATTGTGCCACCATAACCCCACCGCAAGCATCATTTTTAAAATGGTTAATTGCAAAACGCTGCATTTAAAAATTTTGAATGCAATTTTATTCAAATACATATATTCGTTTTTTCTCATTTCTCTTTTTTGTTATTCTCAGTTTTCAGTTTTTTCTTCGTGTTTGTGTTCTTTTGAGTGTATATTGCATATGACAATACGCAAAAATGTATTTATTCTTAAGTTTACATCAAAACAATTGCTAACAAATATTAAACCCCAGAAAAACAAGGAATAAATTGAAATTTCGACTAGAGCTTAATTGTTACCTTTATTAATAATATAATATTAATGTATCATTGTTTTTATTTGTTATTATTGCAATTTCCTTCAGTTTAAAGGAAACTTACATTATTTTTGTTTTTTTTTTTTCTGAGAACTTGGGCTTTTTTGCATTGTGGGAGAGGGCGTGTTTGTGGATGATGTGGAAGGATTGCGTGCTATAACAAAAATTGCGTTATACATAATGCCTGGCAACAGATCGTTTGTACATCTGTGTGTATCCACATTTGCCCCAGTCAAGTGTGTATGCATATGCGGTCCTTATGTGCCTGTCAATGTCCGTTTTGGGTAACAGGGTTACACACCACAACACACATATGTATGGGGGTTGGCTGTTCTGTTGGCATCTTAAGCGCCAGGGTGCGTCATGAGTGTTACGGTGTGGCAAAGTGAATGAGAAGTAACGCATGCAAAGATGGGACTCCACTAGTGTTCCTCTAGTCGGTTAATGGTTACAAATTCGTATGAAGGATAATTCTTACACAGCTGAAATTGATAGGCATGTTTGTACCCACCATGTATTGCTTTACCTTATTACAGCTCGATCAGATCAATATATCAGTCTGAATAACGAAATATAGTTTTGTCTCTCACCCCCTGTTAGAAATATAGAAGACTAGGAGTTTACACTAATATGGTGGGGACACTTGTTGCCCTTGCCCTCCTGCCTATTGAGCCCACCTTTGGCCCGATTGCCATTCTCAAATATTTATGTACAGTTACAGTGAGGAGCCCTAATCTGTAGCTTTGGGCCCCCATCTCACTCGCTTGCACACGAAATTTCCCTTCACACATGCATATATGTATGTATGTATAAGCTGGTATCTCTCTCGCTGTCGCTGACATTGTGGGGTTGAAGCCGCTGGCTCCCTTCTGGATTTTCTGTGCGTGCTTGTGTGAGTGAGTTTGTGAGCTTTTGAGTGACGTGAACATACATTTATGTATATGTATGTATGGGTATGTGCGTGTGTGGCTTTGTGTTTATGTGTGTACACAGCTAAGTATGGATGTATATATATATGTATTTATATATTGTACGAATATAATGCATGCATTATAAAAATACTTTACTTTTCTTTACTTTATACTTTTTACTTTACTTCATGTTAAATGTTAACTTAAAAAAAAATTGCCGGCCCTATATCTAAATGTGCTACCGTCGTATTCCATATTCTGATCCTGCCGTCCGGCTCCTGCTTTCTCACTTTCCTTTTGGATTCTTAACTGGTTTCTGGTCTCGCTTCTAATCCTGGTTTACTCTCGCTCTACATACATATGTATACAATATATATAATTTATAGATGTCTAAAACGACGCCGACGATCTTCTACAGCACTGCCTCCGCTCACATCATTTCTCTACCTCTTTCCTTCCAACTACTTATCTTTCTTTGTTTTTTTTTGTCTGGAGCCAGCTCCAAAGGTTTGCCGCGCACTGCTTGCACCGATTTTACACAGCTTATCCCACTTCTCATGCACTGCTTCCCCAGCTGATCCTCTCCAGACCTGTCGGTCTGCCTATGTGTGTGTCTGTGTGTGTATCTTTGTGTGTGTAGTGTTAGTAGCCCTTTAGCCGATCCGCTAGCGGTGGCTTTATGACCTTAGGAGCGCTGGCCCTCGCCACCCGCATTCGCTCCGCTGCCTTGGCCAGCCGCTTTTTCCGCTCGTCTGACGTCTCGCTTGCCCGTCGCAGACGCTGTCTGGCGGCGTTCTTCATCAGTCTTAGGGTTCTTTGTACTTCGTTTTCGTTCTGGCGACGGACGCGATTCGCCTCGGCATTCTTGGCCAACCGGAGGCGGTACTCCGCCTCCGACTCCTTTGAGCGCTTGTCCCGCATCCGAGCAGCGTTCCGTTCCAGGCGGCGCTCACGCGCCTCGATCGATTCGTTGCTGCGCCGACGGGCCGCCTTTTGGGCGCGCGACGATTGCGACTGATGGGCACCGCCAACGCCGAGTCCGACTCCAAGGATCCCACCACCACCACCACCACCACCACTTGGGCCGCCGACAACGACAACTCCCGTGGAGAGATGATGGTGCAGGGGATGCGGCGCCTGCTGGTGCTGCCCGCCAACGTTCTGTTCCTGCGAATGCTGCTGTTGCTGGTGGGGATTGCCCGCCTGCTGCTGCTGGAAGGTATTCTCCAAGTTTAGGACAGCCGTAACGCTAGCAACGCTGTTCCCTGCCGAGCCCGAACCGGATCCCGCGCCCGCTCCTGGAGCAGTGCCCGCACCGCTCCCACTCCCAGCTGTGGCAGGGACGGATACGGAGACCGAGGTTGTGGCAGAGGCTGCGGCGGCGGCGGCCGCTGCGGTTGTGCTGTAGTTGTTGTACTCTATGAGGCCCCGGTTCGAGGGGTAGAGATGGTGCATGGGACTCTCATAGCTGAGGTACTCCGGTTTGATGAAGAAGGGGTCGCGAGCGGTGAGCGGCGCCGTCGGCGAGTTGAGGAAGTACAAACGGCTATGGTGGTCTGTGGTTATGCTCCCTCCGCCTCCCACACCCGCGGACATCGAGGGATTGTGCGCTGGGCCGCGACTCTTCCGTTGCGTCGTTGGGGATTGGATTTGATTCGATTGGATAGCGATGACAATGTTGGCGCTCTCAGTTCCTGATTCCGGTCACGCTCCCAGCTGCCAGCTGCTGAGATTTATTTCGTTTCTTCGTATTAGATTTAGCGAATTTTTATGCCGATTTGTGGCCGCGTTTTTGGACAGCACAATTAACTGGCTAAAAAAATGTGGCGAGTAAACAACAAAAGCGATATAACTAATCAATATGGAAAAAAACTTCCAAATTCTGGTTGGAAGTGCTTCCACGACACTCGGCTCTGGCCTGCGCGCTGTAGATACACACACACACACCAGCACGCATGCACAGTATTCGCGTGGAAGTTGTGTTGGCGCTCGGTGTGGTGGGCGCTTCCAGCCGAGCCAGGGTGGGGAGCTTTCCACTGGTCAAAATATCGTTACAGCCGGCACAAGAGGCATAGGGCTGCAAAATACAACGTGGCAGCGCTGGCACAAGGCGCGAAACTATCACTGGTTTCTATTGAACTTGAAGGCGCTGTTATCGTTAGTGCTCGTGCTGCTCATACATATTTTCAGAATATTACAAAAAGATAGTAGACTCAAGCAAAGACCTAGCGAAATGAAATTTAACATGCAAAAGTTCGGAACAGAGTTCAAGCTGGATATATTATATTATTTATTAATATTATTTATATTAATAAATAAACGGGAATAGGTTGCACATTTCATCACAGTGGTTCGTCAGAAGTCGGGTGTAACTTTGGTATTTAGATCTAGGGTAAGGAGGAATTATTAACGATCTGTCACCCGCCTGTACCTGTACACATCGGTGGAAGTGCGATAAAACTGTTCACGTGGTAACAGGTTCTGGTACGGTTATGTCGCTTTAATGGATGCTGGATAATTTTAGTCGGGCGGATAGAAGAAAACTCTTAGAGAAATTACCCCAATCCAAAGTGACAAGGGGCCGAGGGGGGGCTTGGTCGCCAGTATGTGGACTACGGAGTCTGGAAGATATGGAAATCCAAGGACCGCGTGGCCACTCCGACATGAATCACTGCGGCCTCAAAGCCAGTAAAGCCCTTGTTTCAAGACAAGAAACGCAAATTGTACACAGCTGGTAGCTCTTTAAAGGATGCAGCCAAGCTAGGCAAACAGCAAAACAAGGGTATCGGCGGAGAAACCCTCCACGCTAATCAAGCAGGCCAAGCGGACTGAGACCCAGCTTTTTCTAGAAGGTAGCCACCATCACCGAATAATATTTGAAATAGCAGGTAAAAAACACAAACTCAAAACATTCATAGCCAAAAGCAGGCTACTTAAAAGCAAAGCCAGTTTGAGGCTAACAAAAACTTAGAAAGTTTTGCGAATAACATTCAACGATAAATAAAAGCTGCTACTCATGAAATTAAAAACAAATGTCCACTGGACAGCGTAGAGGATCCGGAGAAGATCGGGATCACTGTCAGGGTGCCCTCAACTTGGCGAAATGTGTTTAGAATGGCGTCCCGGCAGGTCCGCTTCTGGGACAACTAAAAAACGGCTAGGACATTACACTCTGCTGTTTATAACAACCCGGTCCCCATGCCTAATGTACGGCGGACTCAATAAACATGTAGCACATAAATTAAACTCTACGTATTTTATTTATATTTGTAACTAAGACATATGTGGGAACGGGAGTTTGACGTGTGACGGTGGTACTGTCCACCCTTTGTCACTCCATTTGTTTTCCGCACAAGCAAAAAATTAAAACTGGTTTTTTTTTAGAAAACTACGTAAAAAGTTCAGAAAATCTAAAATGTTGGTATCGATTAATTTTTACCTTGTATCGATTTCAGCTAAGAAAATCAGCTGATTTTTTTACATCTTATCGATTTCAGTTTAGATAATCAGGACTGATGTTACGAACCTTTGTTTTTCTTTGGGGCAAGGCCGGCTAGCCAGTCATCCCAGGGCTGGATACTTCCCAAGCCCTCAGGTCGCACAACAACCAACTGATTGGACATCTCGAACAAAATGAAATAACGAAAATAACCGACAAAAAAAAACTGAAAAAAACGGACTCTACTCGACAAACAACATTACAGTCTTCCCTCAACACAGACTTGGACCAGGTCGAGGTGTCGATGTTTTACCCCCGACGCACCCACCCTACCTGAGATCTGAATCACACGTTCCGGATCTCCCTGCCATTGGCAAAAGCCTTACCCTCTCGTTGCTGTGGCTCCTCTTCCCCCCATACGAAACGCTTAACAATTCATTTCTTCGTTATAATCTTCACTTCATTTCCTATTTTCACACGATATCATTTCTAAACTAGGCCTGCCTATTCATCCCCCCCTCATCTTAGTACTACTGGCGGTTAATAAATAATTAGATTAATAGGAATAAATAATATAATAAATATAAATAAATAGGTTACATATATATAATAAATATGGCCGGACTTAAATTACATATACTTATAACTAGAGACGTCTAACAAAAATAATTAATGGGAGTAAATAAGTTGATGTGCTTTTTTTCTTCTCCCTAAGTGGGCGAGGGTCCCGCACTACGTGGCCAGGTCTGATCCTTCGAGACCAGCAGGAAAAACAAGCCAGGGTGGCGGAGCTGTGACCTATTCCCTACGGCCAACAAAAAAAATAAATTAGGGGTTTCTTTACTCCCCCTTTGGAGCGGACTCACTCTTATGCTTCCTGGTCCTGGTTCCTGGTCTTTCCCTGATCTGGATCCCCTGGAATCACATTTATTTATCTTTTATTCATTTTTTTGCAGGGTGATGGCCACTACTCCATCCTCATCCCACTCACTATTTCTTTCAGAACACAAAAAAATCGCTAAGTCACTGTGCCCGGCGCGCATGCTCCTCCGTTGCGGGAATTTTTCTTTCTGAACCCCCTCTTGGATGTTCTGTTTAATGCTCCCGGCTGCCGATCCCCATGGCTCTCTCTTCTATCGCCCTTGAACTAGGTTCAAGGGCATGGCCTGATTCGGGCTGCTGGCGGCTCTCTTTTCTTTTGGGTGTGGGTGAGTTGGCTTCGGGACTCCGTTATGGGCTGAGATCGGAAATCCTCTCACAACGGCTCCGGAGAGCGCGCGGAACTCTAACTCTCCAGGACCAGGTGGCCACTCTTCGCTAACCTTTCCCCTTAAATTTTGGCCCTGCCACTCTGTTCAAAAAAATACCTTCCTCTCAGCGCTTCTAGGGTCTCGCCTATCGATATCTTCGCATGCAACACCTAGCGAAAATTCGAGCGACCATGGCCGCGGAGAATTATTCGCAAACATCGAAGAGCTTCACCAAAAATGCTGGCATTCTCGGACATTACAGTGCCTAGGAGGATCTTGCAGCGCCCAACGTAGGCTTACACCCACGTATCTGATAATCCTCAAGTGAGTGTTTTTAACTCTGAAGTCCCCAGTCTGCAATTTTCGCTACAATTTTAGGTCTTTGGCGTGAAAAATCCCCACCGGCCTCCCCGACAGATCCTCCAGCTCGTAGGCGTTATTCCCTACTGGACGTACGACTCTGCATTTTAGAAATTTCCGGGCGAACTTGGCGTTGTAGCTTTTGCCAAAGTCGCTGAGGGTGAAGTTGCGCCTGTAGACTTCTTGGCCAGGTCTGGCGAAAAAGACTCGGGCCCGTTTGTTATAACGCTGGCTGCTCCGCTCATACGCTTGGTGTAGGCTGTGTTTGATTTGCTCGCGAATGAGGTGTCGCTTATCCGCGGGATCTAATGCGTGCACTTCGTGTTCCGTCAAAGACTGCAGCTTCCTCGCCAGCTTATAGCAGTTCCCATTCAGGAACATCTGCTGTCCAAATACAGCGAAGAACGGCGTGACGCCTGTGGCTTCGTGCACGGAGTCACGGATTGACACTTCGATCTCCGGTAGGTAGATGTCCCAGTCCCTGTGATCCTTCTCCAAATACGTCCTTATTGCAGCGAGTATCGTCCGATTTACTCTCTCGGCTGCATTGCTTTGCGGCGAGTATACTGCTGTGCGCATGTGTCGGATCCCGAAGCCGCTGACCATGTCCGTGAAAGTCTTCGACAGGAACTGCTTTCCGTTGTCGGAGTGGATCACCTCTGGCACCCCGAATTTGTAAAAGACCTCTTGCACCAGGAATTGAATGACGTTCGCCGCGGTCGCCTCTCTCATCGCCTTCAAGAAGGTGAATTTCGAAAAGTGGTCTACGACGACGAAAATCCAGGCCTGTCCCCTTTTCGACCTGGGATACTTTCCAAGGAAGTCTATGTAGAGCTTTTGGAATGGCCTCTCCGTGGTTACTTCCTGACCGATCCCGACTTGGCTCCGGTAATTGGGTGCTTTGGATTCCTTGCATTCGGTGCAGCTTCGGACGTATTCCCGCACTTGTGCCGTCATCGCCGGCCAGTAGTAGTGCCTTTTTAATCTATGCAAGGTCTTCTTCATTCCACCGTGTCCAGCTGTGTGGTCTTCGTGGGCCTTTGCGATGAGGGTTTTCGTCAATGCCGCGGGAATCCATAATTTCCACATGGAACCTTCCACTTGGTCGTCGATTTGCGCGAAGGCCATTCGCTTGAATACTAGGTCCCCGTCTATTCGCAGGTCAGGCAATACTTCTTTGTTCCTGCAGATTTCTTCTTTTAGCTCCTGGTATTCCGTTGACTTGAATTCCGTCGTCTGGAATCCGAGGATTTCCGTTGGGTCTAGAATCACCTCCTCGATGCAGCGTGATAGTGTATCCGCCACTATATTTTCGACTCCCTTGCGGTGTTCGATCTCAAAATCGAACCTCTGCAGCCGCAATGACCATCTCGCTAGACGCCCATTCAGGTCCTTGAGTGACATTAGCCACTTGAGGCTGGCGTGATCAGTAATTACCGTGAACGGCATCAATTCCACATATGGCCTGAATCTCTCTATCGCCAATACCGCAGCTAAACATTCTTTCTCCGTTACAGAATAATTTATTTGGTGTTTGTTCAGCTTGGAAGAAAAGAATGCCACTGGACGCTCTGCTTTGTCGTCATCCAGCTGGAAAAGCACTGCTCCCACTCCAAAATTTGAGGCGTCGCACTGGATGTAAAAATGGCGTTTGAAGTCGGCATGGACTAATACAGGAGCCGTGGTGAGGGCCTTTTTCAGGGATTCTATGGCCGCCCTCGCTTCCGTTGGCAAGGAAAACTTCCCGCGCGCATGCTTCTTCAGAGCATCTGTTAACGGTACAGCGATGGTTGCGAAGTCCTTGATGAAGCGCCTATACCATCCTGCGGTTCCTATGAAGCTCCGTAGCTCCTTCACTGAAC